GAGATGGTGCTGGAGTCTCCCTCCAGGCAGCTTTCCAACGTGAGCATCCAGCCAGGCCAGCGTCATCTCTTCTCTGGACCCCTGCCATGGCTTTTGAAAAGGCCTTCCTGTTGGCACGCTTGCCTTCCTCCAGGGCATGCTCCACTCAGAGGCGGGGAGCAATCTTCTCAAGACACTCATCGGATCACACCCTTGCTGCATGATTCCTCCAGTGGCTTCCTCCTGTTATTGGAACCAAATCCAAAGCTTCTCACCATGGCCTGCGGGACCCTGAAGGGATCTGCCCTACCCGTCTCTCCAGCCCTCTGCCTCACACTGTCCTGCAGCCACAATGGCCTCCCTTCACCTCTGCAAACGGGCCCAGCTCTCTCTCATCTGGGTGCAGTGGTGCTGGCCTTTGCCTCTGGTTCAGAACCCTCCTTGCTCTGACATCTGCAGAGCTGCTCCACTCCTCCTTTGGGCCTCAGGGTTAATGCCTGCCCCTCCCTCCAAACCCAGGCCCTCTCTAACCACTCTGAAATAGTAATAGTTCCCTGTTCAGTCTCTACTTGAACCCTTCTGGCCCTTATCATTTTATTTGTTTTCTGTCTTTTGTTTTCTTTCTTTCTTTCTTTTTCTTTCTTTCTTTCTTTCTTTCTTTCTTTCTTTCTTTCTTTCTTCTTTCTTTCTTTCTATCTGCCTCCCCAAATAGACTGTAAGCTTTTTGGAGAAAGGGTGACACATTCAGGTTCTTATTCACCACAGCAACCCCAGTGCCTTTGCACTGTATGTGGTCCATCATAGGTCCCTGAATTGTTGCTAAATGTATATGAATGGATGGATAAATACAGTGGAATTTGGGATTTTAGAGGAACGGAGAAAGTGAAATTTTACAGGTCTAAAAAAACTGGACGAGGGTGTTGAGGGGGATGCTTTTGGCAAAGGATATACAAAGCCATCCTGGGCAGGGAATGTGCCAGATTTGAGAGAGAGGCTTGTGAAATAATCACAGCCACCAAGACCAAACAGTTAGGAGAAATTAAGATGCTTGGAGAATACTCACACCAAAATATGGAATGCACAGCCTAGAAATAATCCTGGAGTTTCTGTCTTTGCAATACATTTAAAGTTCTGGGGGGACAGGAGAGCCAGGGAAAGGCAGACCCAGTAGGGAGAAAAACCGAACTGTCAGACTCAGAGCAATTAAGTCCATCAGAACGGAACAACCGCTAAGGAAGGTGAATTTCTTGGCTTATAAACCTTCACATAGCTCCTCTGTGCTTGGATATGTAAATGCCTTTGCCGACTGGCAGCGCCAACAGCCTCCTTATCCACCCAAAGTCTTGCATCTGCTCCAGGATCTTATCACAGCGCTTGAGGTGTAATTAACTTCAGCGATGACATGCCCTTGAGGAGGCTGTCAAAAGCTCTCTCCCCAAAGAGCTGTCAAGGCCTCTCTGGGGGATCGTTGTAGGGTCCCACACATACCATCAGGGGAGGGCAAGCGTGCAACAATTATGTACTTAGTGTCTAGAGAGAGCCCCGCACTGGGACTGAGGTTCCCCTTTCCATCCCTGTCTCCATCCCTGGTCTGTGACATCAGGCAAGCTCACTTCTCTGGGGGCATTTTTACAACACACAAAGGCTGATCTGACCTCAGTGTCGTCCCCTGGGAAACTACATAGGCTCCTAAGCCTCTTCTTGCTTTCAGATTCGACATATCGATAGATCTGTAAATCATCTATGTATCAATGCATATTTGTTTGCAGTTCAGTTAAGCCTAACTGATAACACGAGTGGACTGTCTTTATGGTTGTCAGATAAAATACAAGACACCCAGTTAAATCTGAATTTCAGATAAACAACACATACTTTTTTCTTTTTTAAGTGTAAGGAGTCCTGTGCAACATTTGAGACAAAAACTGATGACCTTGGCTAAATCTGACAATTTTTTAACTCTTTGCCTTCCATCCTCCAGATGTTGCAAACTTTTGGAGAGCCAGTAATAGATCTTACTCGCTGACAATGGTGTCTGCCGGCTTTTTGGATTGCACAGATGAAACATTCTTGGATTTTTCTTTCAGGGCAAAACTATTTTTTATTTTGGTAAATAAAAGTATTTGTAACCATCATCGCTTTACTAAAGAAAACCAGGTAAATATTAAAAACTCTCAAATCATTTTATACAATTACTAATAATTAAGTCATTAAATGTAATTATATTAATCATTAAAACTTTTTTTTTTAACTTTACAAGATACTCATTACATCGTCCTTTTGTTTGGGTGTTTCTAAGGTGACCAGGCGAGGCTTCCAATCACTTTGGCGTTGCCCAGCTGCCCCGTGCTTGGGAGCTTCAGCTGCATGCTCTTTGCTTGAAGGCCTAGCACTACTTTTTGACTTTTTGGTGTTAGCTGCCAGGGAGGTCAAGTTCAGCTAGAGCTCAGCTGCCTCAACTATCCTCTCTTCTCCTTCCATCCCTGGGATCATGCGCTCTCCTCCAGGCCTTCAAACCTTTTAATGAGTGAATTTTCACATAAGTCGCCTCAAGAACCTCAGCAGCATGGGAGGAGGGGAAAGCCTTGCATATCGTGAGGCCTCAATATAACGATGCTGTTGGCAAAGCAGATGTGAATATTAAGTGGTATCTGATTATACTACTTTCAGAAGACGATTTTTCTTTTCTTTTTTTTTTTTTTTTTTTGCTAAATTCTTTTTTTTCAAAAGATTTTGAGAGAGCGAGAAAGCGAGAGACAGAGCATGAGTGGAAGGAGAGGAGGCAGAGGGAGAAAGAGATTTGCCCTCAGAGCAGGGAGCCCTACACGGGGCTCAATCCCAGGACCCCAGGATCATGACCTGAGCCAAGGGCAGACACTTAACTGAATGAGCCACCCAGAAGCCCACCTTTTTTTTTTTTTCCACTGAATTCTTATTTCAGCTACCCATTTTTAGAATTTTTGTAGAAAGGTAATTGCAACTTCTAGTCCAATTCCAGACTGACCAATTGGGACTTGGAAGGATAAGATCCATGAATCTACAGCAAATCTAGGATCCGAGTTCCACTGGCCCGTATGCCCTCTTAGGAGGTATCAAAGGGCAATATGTCATTTTCCAGGTGAGATGACTGAGCACAACAGAGTGAAGTCACTCTTTTATAAATCGGGGGCAGACACGGATGAAGACCACAGTGCCCAACTTTCTTAGAAAATTAATGGACTCTGTTGGCGGACAGGCAGGGCAGGGAAAGGTGTTCACTAATTTCTGTTCATCTGTATAGTAGGAAAGTTCATGCTGGGTGTAGAGAAATGAAAGACCAAGAAGATTTACCTCAAATAACGGCAACATCAATCTGGCATCTGTTCTGGGATTTCACAGTTCACCGAGCACTTCTGTTGTCTTGCTTTGATCCTCACCACAACAAGGAGATTTAGCAAGGCCGTGGTGTTGTCTACCTTGACTTCGCAGCTGAGAAAATGGAGCCATAGTCACCGTGCCTACCTGGCCATCAAAGAGGGAGAGTGAAATTTGCACACTTTCTAGTACTTGATGTCCCTGAAGTGGGCTAAGACAGGCCAAGGTGTGTGTCAGTTAAGAAAAAATGATTACATGTTTCTTTCTTTCTTTTTTTTTTTTTGAAGATTTCATTTATTAGAGACAGACAGAGAGAGAGAGAGGCAGACACACAGGCAGAGGGAGAAGCAGGCTCCATGCAGGGAGCCCAACGTGGGACTCGACCCCAGGACTCCAGGATCATACCCTGGGCTGAAGGCGACGCTAAACCTCTGAGCCACCCGGGCTGCCCTGATTACATGTTTCAAAAATGATTTTGTGTTTCAAAAGTCACACAGGTTCCATATGGGTATTATAAGAAAATCCAAATTAATTCAGGAAAATATAGATTAAAAAGGAGAGTGGGTCCTATCCTACCCCAATCCTGAGCAGTTTGGTGAGTTTTGGGGTTTCCTTTTCAAACCTTTTTTCTATGAGTTTACATGCATTTATAGGTAAGCCAGCCTGGCTGCCTGCCTGCCTTCCTTTTTTTTTTTCTTTTCTTTTCTTTTTTTTTTTTTTAATGGCTCAACCTATACAAATCGCTGTGCTTTCTTTTTCTTAATGTTATGTCTTGGCCATCTTTCCAAATCCTTACACAGAGATCTACCTCTTTGCCTTTAGGTGAGCCATGTTTGAAAACTGAAGAGCAACATCTGTGTACACTGACGACATAGAAATACTGTATTTACCACCAATACGTAGCAACTGAGTCGACTGTGTGAGGAAAGGGGTACTGGTGCTCAGAAATGGGGAAAACCGACTGATAATGCCAGTTTGGTAATCACTAAGCTGAAGAAAGGGGACTTCGGAATCGGAATCACAAAGAGCCTAACAAAGGAAAAAGTTAGCTAAGAGCTGTCTCAGTTTTCCCACCTATAAAATGGGGGTGCGAATAACACATGTTCCATAAGGTTACCGCGAGGAACAAATAAGATAATCCACATCAGATGGTCAGCACAACAACCGATGAGGACGATGACGATGATGATGCTAATTCTTAGTCCGGGAAGCTCAGGTAGGAGCTGGGAAAATGATTTGGGGCTTCAATTGATAGGTAATCAATACCTAGAACAGATGCTCCAGGAGATGATTTTTATTAAGAGCTACCAAGTCAGTCTCGCTGTCTGGGACGCCCCCTGAAGACAGCCGGGACCGCGAGACTCCAGCTTGGGAAACCTCAACGTTCCAGGGTTGCTACAGGTGTTTGGCCAAACCTTTGGGGGAACGAAGACTACAATTCCCAGGCTGCATCACTCCAAGCCCCGCTCCGGCCCCGCCCCGCCTACGTCGTCGCGTATCGCCTAATTTTCGCCAGGCTCCCGGCCCGCACTACAGGTCCCGGAAGACCTTGCAGCACGGGTCCCGTCTCCCGGCGCATCACTCCCACTTTGCGAAGCGTAACTGCGGCCGCGTTGCCCGCTGGGAAACGTAGTTCTGCGGGGGAGAGGGGGGCGGGCGGGCCCCTCCCCGTCCGGGCCCAGGCGCGGCAGTAAGGCGGGCGAACTGCTGGGATACCCGTTCTTCACCGCCCACCCGGAAGGGGAGCCTGGCTGGGGAGGACCCTGGAGACGCGCCTGGGGCCCGGGGGCCCGCGCCTCGACGGGTGAGAAGGCGGACGGGACCAAATGCCCGCGTGGGAGAGGGAGTGGGCCGAGGGGAAGGGTGAATCCAAGTGCAGATGACAGGGGTGGGAGTGGGGCTTGGCGCCGCCCTGCAGCCGGGCCCGCGGGAGGTGCGCGCGCAGGATCCGGAGCAGCCGGCGGGGGGGGCGGGGGTCGCGGGAGGTGCGCGCGCAAGATCCGGAGCAGCCGGCGGGGGGGGGGGTGTCGCGGGAGGTGCGCGCGCAGGATCCGGAGCGGCGGGGAGGGGGGAGGGTCGCGGGAGGTGCGCGCGCAGGATCCCGAGCAGCCGGCGGGGGGGGGGGGGAGGGTCGCGGGAGATGCGCGCGCAGGATCCGGAGCAGCCGGCGGGGGAGGGGGGGGGGTCGCGGGAGATGCGCGCGCAGGATCCGGAGCAGCCGGGGTCGCGGCGGGGCGCGGGCACCTGCTGCCCTGGCCTCGCCGCCCCTGCGTGGTGGAGGCGGCGCACCTGGCCGTGGCCTGCAGGGTCTGGGGGTGCGGGGGCCGCGGGGCCTCCAGCAGCAAGGGCAGCTTCGAGCCCCCCCTCTGCCGGAGCGCCCCCCGCGCCCTCGCTGTGCACAGCGCACGGCAGGAGGTTGGATGGAGGCTTAGTCCGCACCGAGCCGGAGACACTGGGGTCCAGCTCCTCGGTTCTAGAATACTGTGAAAAGTTGTGCTGTGTTCATAGAAAAATGTCCGAAGTAAATGAATGGGGAAAAAAAAATCAGGATGCAAAACAATGTATATAATGATTTTTTTTTTTGCAATAAATACACATATCCCCTAAATATGTGGCACGTATCTATGGGTATGAGTAGAAAAAAAAAAAGCACTCTAAACTACTCCAAACCGCCAACCGAGCTTCTTGATGGGGTGGGGAGATTACAAAATAATCGTACTTTTTTTTTTTTTTTTTTTTTTTAAGATTTTATTTGAGAGAGCGCAGGAGAGGGGTGGGGGTTGGGGGAAGTGGCAGGGAGAGGGTGAGGGAGAAACAGTCTCCCTAGAGAGCAGAGAGCCTGTTGTGGGGATTGATCCCAGGACCTGAGCCACGGGCTGACGCTCAACTTCTCAACCGACTGAGCCACCCAGGCGCCCCTACATCTTTTTGTAGCATCTGAATTTGTTCAGTGAGCATGCATTACTTTTTTTGTTGTTGTTTTGTTTTGTTTTTTGCTTATTTTTCCAAAAAAGTCACAGTTGCTCCATGGTGGTGCACTTTGGAAGGCCGGCACCAAGGCTAACTGCTTTGTGCCTTGCACCTGGCCACCAACAGATGGGTTTGCCAGGAATAGTAACAGGAAGGAGCGTAAGGGGTGAATTTAGTGTGCAGTCTATGTGAGGCTAATGGTTCTTTCCTTCTTCCAGCTTGGCAGGGGTCTGTTAGCGAGTGTCACACCATGGTATGTGGCTGTTTTGGTCTATGTCCGCCTAATCTCTTGTCACTTCTGGTTTGAAACGTCGTCCTACTCATTACCCGATTACGCGGTAGGTTACGGTGCGCTGCATAACTTCCTTGGGATCTGTTCACTTACGTTGGCTGGGGGATGAAAGGGAGAATAATACTGCAGCTAAAATACCTTTTTAGGTTTGGATCCAGTCTCCCCTTGTCTTTTGCTTTTGCGTGAGGGTCTTTGTTGTAGTATATGGTACCATCCCTGTGGGTGTGTGTGTTTAATTATCAAAGAAACTTTAACATATCCCTTGATTGTGCAAATTGTGTATTCCCTGGAAGAAAGCTTGTTAAAATCAAGGTAGGAGCATGAAAAAAATAAATATATTTAATGTTTGTTTCAATATTGTTTTTCCTTCCTCAGCTTTTGCCAAGTTTCTGATTAAAGATTGACGTCCCTGCATAAGCATTTCCCTGTTAAAATGTCCTTGCCTCTTACAGAGGAGCAGAGGAAAAAAATTGAAGAGAACCGGCAAAAGGCTCTGGCCCGTAGAGCTGAGAAATTATTAGCAGAACAGCATCAGAGCTCAGGCTCTGGCTCCTGCATTGCCACCAACTCTTCCCAGTCCAGACAGGGCCTGCCCCCAAATCTCCCCGGGGATCCTTCTAAGCCAGTGAACCATGGTGTCATTTTCATGCAGCAGAATCTCAGTAGTTCATCTAGTGATGGCCAAAGACCTCATCATTGCCACAGTTTTCACCTGAGTGCTCCAGAGCAGACAGAGAGGACCTGGAAGAGGCAAGATGATGTGCCCGCAGCCTGCCCGAGCCACAGCTCATCAGGTCAAATGATTCTCACGGGCATCTCTCCTCCCTTGGCGCAGGAGGTCCCCGATCAACAACTCTTGGGTTGTGCCTTAGGTCAAGGTCATCTTCAGGCTTCCCACGAGGCCAGATCCACGCCCTTTGCTAACCCAACTCCTGAGTCTTTGGCCAAAGCCAAGAGTTTCCAGAAGACACCAGCTTCTGCCTTTGGACAGCCACCCGGTGATCCCAGGTTAGAGGCCAAGGCAGTGAGGCCCTCCACATCGGGGCAGAACATTGCTGGTGTCCACTGTGGCTCAGGGAGTGTGACACCCAGGACGGAAGGAAGACTTTCACAGAAATTGGGGGCCGCAGCCACCCACAAAGCAGTAAGCTCCCAGAGGGGAACGTGCATAAGGAGTGGGGATCGTTTCCAGGTGAAGATCGGGTACAATGAAGAGCTCATTGCGGTTTTTAAGAGCCTACCCAGCAGAAGTTATGGTAATGAGGCTTTGGTCTTGTTCTTCACAGGGTCTATTCTATTTTTAGAGTCTCTTTTAATCTACCAGTTTCTCATAAATATGAGGAGAGTGCATTGGCACATTCTGTCCGTCCAGTTGTTGAAAATTTTGGTTTTAGCTCATGTTTCTTTTTGTAATAGACATTCCTTCAAACAGCTGCCAAACTTCAGGGCTGCCACATGGCCATATGGAGAATGGATGAATATTTACTGAGAGGCCAGTCCCCCTGCCGGGTGCTTTGTTTGTGTTGTAGCACTTAAGTGTAACAACAGTCTTTTGAGATCAGTAGATGTTACTTCCATTTTAAAGGCAGCAGAACTGACTCAGTAAGGTGAGGTAACATGCTCGAGTTGGTTCCTCTGGAAAGGCAGAGCCAGGATGTGCTAGTTCTGCAGCAGCTCAGAGAGTGGGCTCCTTGTTCTGCTTTGCCTGACTACAGTGGGTCCCAGAGAACTTGGATTCTAGTCCCACCTCTGTCCTCAGCCCTCTTAGACCAGGTCATAACATCCCAGGGCCCTCGAATTCCAATATATGGAGTAAAAGCATCGTCCTCATTTGTATTTGCTATTTGTCCTCCACTGAGATTTTGTACGTTTGTAGGAGTTTTCAGTCAGCTGTTGTGAACTGAGCACACGTTAATTCATTTTTTTTTAAGAAAAAGATGTTATTTAAAAAAAAAAGAAAAAGAAAAAGATGTTATTTATTCGTTAGAGACAGAGAGAGCGCGCGTGCGCACATGCACGCAAGAGCATAAGGTAGGAGCAGAGGGAGAAGCAGACTCCTCTCTGAGCAGGAGCCTGATGCGGGGCTCGATCCCAGGATCCCGGGATCATGACCTGGGCCAAAGGCAGGTGCTTAACCAGCTGAGCCACTCAAGGGCCCCTCATTCATTCATTAAACAACGGTTTACTGAATGGCTCAGTACAACCCAGAACAACAGTCATCAGCCTCATTAGGGGCAAACCAAGTACTTTTGTCTAATTTCAGATCCTGCCACCAAGACATGGAACTTCAGCATGACTGACTACGGTGCCCTGAGTAAGTAAACGTGTCATTGCCCTGCATGCAGGGAAATACTGGTGTTGAAAAGCTCCTAGAGCAGCAGATGTGGTCCAGCTTAGGATTCAGATGGCATTTAGGGCACTACCCCAGTTCTCTCCCTTCTCACTAATGGCCACCATATCGAGGCAACTCCTTGGGTGAAGGTCTCCGTGTTTACAAAAGCTAGCACTTTCGTAACAGCCTCTGCTGGGTGGTGCTGAGCCCCTTGCCCAGGCACACTGTGGGGACACTGTGGGTTTGGCTCTGGACCACCACAATAAAGCAGATATCACAGCAGAGTGACTCAGGTGAACTTTTTGGTTTCCCAGTGCATGTAAAAGTTACGTTTACACTCTGTTGTAGTCTGTTAGGTGTGCAATAGCATTGTGTCTGAGAAGGCAATGTAGAAACCTTCACTTAAAGGTACTTTATTGCTAAAGCATTATAACCATCACCCGAGCTTTCCGCAAGTTGTAATCAGTTGTAATCACTGATCACAGGTCACCATAACAAATGCAGTAATAATGAAACAGTTTGAAATATTGCAAGAATTACCAAAGTGTGACACAGGCAGGACATGAGCACATGCTTTTGGGAAGAGGGCACCGGTAGACTCACTCCATGCAGGGTTGCTGCAAACCTTCAACTTGTAAAAACAGCTCAATATCTGCAACACAGCAAAGAGCGGTAAAGCGAGGTATACTTGTGTATGCTAACTCCCCTACCTCTCACAGCAACCATTTTATAGATGGGAAACAGGCCCAGAGAGGATGAGTTACTAAAATCAGGTCACACAGCTAATGAGTCGTACAGCTGGGATTCAGATGCAGACAGCCTGACGGAGGAGTGCATGTTCCCCCTGGACTGTTGGCTCCAGCTGTGACAGGCAGCTGTGCTGCCCTAAAAGGGACAGCTCGGCGATAGCACACATCCTCACAGCACTCCACACGTTCAGTTAACTTGAAGGTGCAAGGAGAGGGCGTTGCCCTGGGCAGGCTCCAGTGGACCCCGTTAACCCAGTTTGGTCTGCTGTCCGCACCCTCAAGGGCACCACTCTGTCTTCCGAGATCTTGTTGACTCTTTTGCCAAGGTTTTCATCACCTCTTGGTGCCCCGAGCCCTTACTCTGCCAGCACGTCAGCCCTGGCTGTTCTGGCCTCCCGTTTCCCTCTCTTCCCACAGCCAGGAAGGTGTTCCCTCTTTCCCCACCCAGTTTGAAAAGGGGAAAGGTGAAGATGCATGACGAGGTCGCTTCTTTGCAGGTGTGGGCCCTGGAGTAGAATTTTCTGGAGTCACCAGCATAGTTTCTGGGGGAGGAGTGATGGGACAGCCCCCTGCACAGTTTCCTGTGTCCCTCCCTGGTGTCCATTTCTTTAAGTGCGTGGCATTGGGTGGTGTCCCTGTCCTTGGTAGTTGCTGCTGAGCTTTGGTCCCTGGGTAGGGGTGGGGGCTGGGTGAGGGGGCTTATTTGTATTATTTTAATCCCTTTGTTAGGTGTTGGGAGGGGGAGAGCCAGTACTCTTGAGCTGAGATTGCAGCTTTCAACACTTGGGTTTCTCATTTTTGCTCATTTCAATCCAGTGATTTCCACGTCCATGGTTTTGTTTGTATTACCATCTTTTTACTCTCGTACTCACAATGCATGGTGACTTGGATAACTTCTGCTTTTGCAGATTGATTTTGGTTTTCTGTGTGGCATGGTTGCTTTTTGTAATGCCCTACATCTTTTTTGAAAAACTGGTTATTGAGCACAAAATTCTCTATATAGCTTTTAGATGAATTTTATTGATTATGAGTTATTTAGCTCCTCTGTGTCCTTACCAGTGTTTTTGCACACTTGTGCAGCTTGCTACCTACTGCGATGTCCCTTGAACACTCATGCAGTGACTGTGGATTTGTGCATTTATCATTGCTCTTATCTTCCTCTTGCAGTACAGTTGACACACGGTGTTACAGTTGTTTCATGTGTACAGATTCAGTGGCACTGGGTTAGGCCTTGCTCAGCACGAATGTAGGTACCCTCTGTCTTTGTTCTTTAATTTTCAGATAGGTTTATGATGTGCCTTTATAGCAGGTTATCCTTTTTATCAGTGTAAAGACTGTGTTTGTCATTTTGCTTTAGGCATGCCTGTGGATTTTGCCTTTTTAACCCTTCCACGCATACATCGTAGAACATGTGGAAAGTATATCATCCTGCAAAGAGCACCAGCTTTTCCTCCATAATCTCCTTACTCAGTCAACCACTATTAACGTTTGGCTTTGCTCCTTCCACCCTTTTTTCTGTGTGTTAAAACATATACGTTTTAACTGTGTGATATAATTTTTATCTTGATTTTTTTAATTAGTGTTCTAGCAGAAGCATTGTTATTTTATTTCTTTTAAAAGACTTGATTTGTTTGAGAGAGTGAGAGCATGAGTGGGGGGGAAGGGGCAGCAAGAAAGGGAGTAGCAGACTCCCCACTGAGCAAGGAGGTAGGGGGCTCCATCCCAAGACCTGGGATCATGACCTGAGCCAAAGGTAGATGTTCAACTAACCGAGCAACCCAGGCTCCCCAGAAGCATTTTTATTTTCGTGCTGAATGTTAGCTGCTAATTCTGAGCAATGACAATACACGTATTCATAATTAGATCATTTTGACCCCTAAAAAAATGCTTTCATACCGTCCAACTTAATACTGGTTTTTGTATTTTTGTCTTTTCTAAAACTTCTCCCTAAAGAACAAACAAGAACAGAGGCTATATAATATTCCATGGTATACATGTGTCATAAAGGGCTTAAATCATTTCCTTTTTGTCTAACTTGTTTTTTGCTCTTGGTTTTCCCAGTATTAAAGCAGCTTGTAAGGAATACCTTTCTCCATAAATCTTTGTATTTATTTTCAGTTGTTAGTTTGGGCAGATTCCTGGAAGTGGAATCATTATGATCACTGTTTAGGATTCATGTTCTAGGTTAGTAAGTTTTTCTTCAGAAGGTTTTATTTCCAGCTAGCAGTGTGTAGATACCTGTTTTTTGTTTTAATTTTGCAAATTTGTTGAGTAAAATTTTTGCTTCTCTGACTTTACTTTATTTCTCTGATTACCTGTGAAATTGAATGTTTTGCCAGATGTTTATTACTCATTTCCCCCCCTCCTGAGTTCATGACATCTCTGTCTTACGTTTTGTGGTCCTAGTATTTTTCTCAAGTGCTGGCTCTTCTATTTCTTGCAAAAATCTTTATTGAGTAGTTTTGCCTTTCAATTCTGTTTGGATTTTTTTTGACAGTTCAGTTTTTTAAAATGAAATCTGCTTAATATATGAAACTTAATGTAACAGATAAAATAAGGCTCTAAACTGCATTGGTGGGCTGACAGGTCTGTGTCTCTTTGCCTGGCTCTCCAAGCAGTAGCAGAGCAGTGACCTGGCAGTCAGGTTGGGAGAGTGATTTCTGGGCCATTGACATCAGTGGCTCCTCAGTCACAGCAGCAGCAGTTATCTGTAAAGTTCGCGAATCTTGGTGAGACCCCTTCTTCTGTTCATTTCTGAGTCACAGGTTTTGTAATTTGAACACCTAAGGAGCGGTAAATTCAGTAAATACTGTAATTCCCAATGCCCCAGTGAAAGCACACTTGCAAGCTTTCCTAATCTAACTATGCTTCTTCCCTCCCTGTGGGAAAGTCATCCACCTTGTCACATTCTTGTCCTTTTCTTCCACAGTGAAAGCAGCCCAGAGGCTCCCCACGGTCACCCTGCAGCCTTTGGAAGGGGCCGGGCACAGCAGGGAGTCACCCTCTGCAGGTGGCACGGCCCAGTCCTGCCTGCCTTCAGCTCCCTCCCTGGCCTTTGTCAAAGGGCAATGCGTGCTCATCTCCCGGGCCCGCTTTGAGGCAGACATCGGCTACTCTGAAGCTCTGGTTGCGCTATTTAAGCAGATGGATTCCAGAAGTTACGGCAAGTAATTGGCTCTTGCCTGGTTCTGCCTAGTGATCTGTGATCTCAGAGCAGGTTATTTTTCTCTCTGTTTGAATGTTGAGAAATGATGTTTGTCCTTAGGAGAGCTTGAAAAACAGGCAGATGCCATAAAAATAAATGCCCTTGGGTAGACCGAGTCGGTGGTTGTCAGACAAGCCTGCATCCAAACTGCCTGGAGGGTTTATTAAAACAGATTGCCAAGCCCCACTCCCAGAATGATCACTGATGCCTGGTGCCCACCGAGAGGTCCTGACTTAATTAGTTCGAGGTGGGGCCTGGGCATTGGTATTTTTAAGTCTAATAATCAGCCAGAATTGAAAACCACTGGCCAAAGCAGAGCAGTTCTGCTCTATTTTTTTGAGGCTCTTCAAAATGTGTCCTGTCAGAATAAGGAGCAGAAGTTGTTTTAGAATTGTGAACTGCGGGATCCCTGGGTGGCGCAGCGGTTTGGCGCCTGCCTTTGGCTCAGGGCGCGATCCTGGAGACCCGGGATCGAATCCCATATCGGGCTCCTGGTGCATGGAGCCTGCTTCTCCCTCTGCCTGTGTCTCTGCCTCTCTCTCTCTCTCTCTCTCTCTCTCTCTCTCTCTCTCTCTGTGACTATCATAAATAAATAAATTTTAAAAAAATAAAAAAAAATGTGTTAAAAAAAAAAAAGAATTGTGAACTGCTGGGTTTCATTCTCAGCTCGGGCCACGTTGTTTTACAAAACCACGTGGCTTTTATGGATTGATGTTTTTCCATCCTTGAAATGGTTTTAGTCTTTTCCTTAGGTAAGTGGAAAGCAGAGCCTTAAAACCTCATGTTTTTCAGACATCACGTTCAGGGGGTGTCATGGAAGCAGCCTCTATAGAATTTGCTCCGTGAGCTTTCATCAGGGTTTGGGGCTCCTTCAAGAGGAGGGTGATGCCAGCTGTTACGTTTTTATTCCTTAGATGAATGGAGTTTCTTTTTTTTAAAGATTTTATTTATTTATTCATGAGAGACACAGAGAGAGAGAGGCAGAGACACAGGCAGGAGGAGAAGCAGGCTCCATGCAGGGAGCCCAATGTGGGACTCGATCCCGGAACCCCGGGGTCAGGCCCTGGGCTGAAGGTGGCGCTAAACCAACTGAGCCACCCAGGCTGCCCTAGAGTTTTAGCTCAACGACAGCCTGCTGAGTAGGATTTACGTGAGATGTACAGGAGCCTGGCCTGAGTCAATGAGATGAGCCGCTCACACGAGGGCCAGGGTTCTTTGCCTCTCCCGCTCCCTTGGATTTTCAGCTTCGGTTTAGAGTAGCCCTTAATAGGCCAGTACAGATGGCCTGTGTGCATTCTGCACTGTGTGACCTTTGAAATCACGCTCCTGACATGGTCTGCAGTTCTGGGAATGTGAACGGCTAAAATATTGACACCCAGCCCTGCCCACACTCAGACATCCAGAAGCCATGATTGGATTTTCTTGCTGTAGCTACAGGGTCCAGCTGTTGTCAGGAAGAGTCTCCGGTACTGTTCCCACATCAGGAGTAGTCTATCGGCCTTTGATTTGTCAGATTACACTGGGCTGCCTTGCCTTTTGCCCCGACACCCACTCACTGTGTGTATGCTGCTCATTCCCTGGCCACCTGGCTTTCTCAGTGATCAGAGAAGAGTTGACTTCTGGTATCCAGAAGGCATTTATCTATTTGAAACTTCCATGACTTTCTCAGAAGGTAGATTGATAGGGAAACTCTCGAAGAACTTAGCCAGTGTCGAGTACTGAGATGCTCATCGTTGGTCAGCATTGGGCGTAGTGGGTGCTACACTCTACTAATCAGCAGACAGCATCATACTACTACCAACAATAATAATCATTTATCATCCCTAGCTTTCTTTTGAGTTCTCATTGTTTACCAGACACAAGTTCATAAGCATTTTATTTATTTTTTAATTTATTGGGGGGAGAGGGGAGGAGTGAATCTTAACTGACTGAGCCACCCAGGCGCCCCGTTGTAAACTTTTTGAGGCAGGGGCTGTCATGTCCTCAATTTTCACGTGTGGGAATTGAGGCACAGAGAAGTTACATGACTTGTCCAAGGTCACACAGCTAGGAAGGGGCAGAACCGGGATTTGAATGTAGGTGGTTCAACTACTCTGATCACATGCCGCTCGTTTCCCACCTATAAAAGGGAACTAATAATAGGGCCCAGCTTTTAGGGTCGCAAGGAGCAGAGGGATGGCGCTCGTGAGTCTCTTGGCCCCACGCCTGGCTTAAAGTAAGGCATGAATAAGTGTAAGCTGCTATTATTATCCCTATCTTGGAAATGGAGGGCATTTCTGACCTGTCACGTGTCCGCGGTCCCGGTAGGACCCTCTGTCACCCCCTTAGCAGCATGGTATCATTGCCGGGTCTGCTTGTCTCCTCTCCCTGAATTCTCTGAAAGCGGTAAGGGCAGGCACTCTCCATTTCGATTTCCCCAGCACCAGGCACAGGCCCGGCCAGGTCGTCCTGACTTATTGGGAGTTTATGAAACCAGGGAACGAATGGATATGTGTAATTACATAGGAGGAGGGCAGCGTGTCACGCTTACTTGCTTGTTTCTTGTCGTTGCAGATGTCAAGACCAGGAAATGGAACTTCCTCTTGGAAGAGCACAATAAACTAAGTGAGATGCCTACCTTGCTTGTTTTATATCATGCTAGGGTTGAGCTTTTGTTATCTGCCTTAAATATAATGTATTTTATTTTATTTTTTTTTAAGATTTTACTTATTTATTCATGAGAGGCAGAGATACAGGCAGAGGGAGAAGCAGTCTCCATGCAGGGATCCTGACGTGGGACTCGATCCCGGGTCTCCAGGATCATGTTCTGGGCTGAAGGCAGGCGCTAAACCACTGAGTCACCCGGGCTGCCCAAATTTAATGTATTTTAAAGGAAGACACCCCCCACCCCAACTCCCCACCTGTGGTAATTCTACATGCTTATGTACTGGACAAGTGAAGGGGAATATATTTCCAGACAGCCACATCCCTGTCTGCTGAGATGGTGGCTTTACACCCAGGCAGACGCAGGGCCCCCTCTTCCATCAGACTGTGGCAGGGCTAGTCAAATTCCTGAGGCCTGTGACAGAATTATTAGATGCGGACTCTGGAAATCAGAGGTGAGCTAGGTTGCTTAGCATAGAGGGGGGCCACTGTAGATTCTCTGAGAACAGGCTCTTGGTTTACGTTTAGATGATAAATGAAGGTCAGAGGGATTGAGTGGTTATGGGCTTCATAATAGGCCCGGGCGTGCAAGCATTGAATAAGCACTTTGGAGACTGACCAGGGGAAGGGCTGTGTGCCCAGGTAGAAGTATAGGAAGGACAAGCCAGTTTGGGCTCCCCATTCCTCTCTGTGCTCTGCATGGGTGGGGCAGTAAATTCTAGCATGCCTGAGAAAGGGACGTGGGCATAGCTCAGCCTGTCCCGGAACACCCATCTGTCACCCATCTTCCAAGCTGTCACACGCCTGCAGTGGGTCTGCAGCTGGCACCACTTACTTTCTTCCTGCTTGGTCCCCGGAGGACTCATCAGGCCTCCCGGCCAGTGCTGGTCCCAGTCAGGCCAGGAGAGACATGCCCCAGCCGAGGAGCTCCGAGTCATTGCCCATCTTGCCCGGCAGGCCAGAGCTGTCAGCAAGAGGGAAGAGCTGGGTTTTTTCCTTCTGTCTCCTCCTCGTTTGACTTACAAGGTGACATCAGGTAGACGATTCAACATTTTAGGTCCCCCTGTCCTTTCAGTGAAGAACAGGGTCTTCAGTTGTATCTCCTCCTCTGACAGAAATTAAATAGAAGGGAAGTGCCTTTGATTCCTTGCAGAAAGACTTGCTGCAAACTCAAGGTTAAGTTTGAACGTAATGAGATTCTTATTTAGTAGCAGCAAACACTGGCTGAGGCAGAAAGGATGCCTGATGAGCCAAGGCCCTGTGGCTGCTGCTGTTGGGACCTTGTGATTCGCAGCAAACTCTTTGGCCAAAGCTGAATTTTTGATGAGCAGTAGGGCTGAGTGTTTCCCCCTTGCTCTCTTATTTTTTAACCACAGAAAAGCACATAAATATGTTAGCCATAAAGGCTTTGATTTTTGTGGATCGACATGAAGCAGGATGCAGACAGCATTAGCAGAGATTTATAATGAAAAACAATGATTCGCGACATGATACCATGTTGTGATGACAGAGATAACCTATAATGGTCCCAAACCTTGTGTGGGCCGTAGACTTTTTGAAACATCTGAGGAAGACGATGGTTTCTTCACCCAGAAAAATGCACGTGATGGCCACACATGAAATTTTGCATTTGATATTAATGACTCCACGGATCTGGAGTTATTAACTAGCCCTAATTCTAGAATTAGGTTGCTGTTGTATGCGCTAGCTTGTCGAGACAGTGTCTTATGGAAGATAAGACAGATTCTCCCCATTTCATAGGTTGTGAAAAGCTTGAACCCAGAGAAAGGAAGCTGTTGTTTTCCCTACTGGAAGCACTGCAAGGTCACAATAAAGTCAGAGGCAGAGCTCAGGCCCCACTGGTGATGCTGAGTTTGTAACATGACCCATTTGGAAATGCAGAAGCCAGACCCGTGAGCAAGAAGCTGAGGAGACAAGGCTCTGTCCAATAACCCGGCTTAGCCCCGATTCCACGTTAACAGACTGTAAACCCCGGGGACTCTGCACCTCTCCGCGTACCCCTGGGGTCTTGTTCTTCCGGTGCAAAGTTAGGTTACTGACCCTGAGCTAGTGAACGTGTGTGCACATGAAACCCATTGAGAAATGACAGTAAGACCTGAGCATACGAATGCTTACTGATGACGTGGCGACGATTATTTTCTCCAGATAAGGTGAATCTCAGAGCATCCCTCCTCCCTCTTTTCTCGGTGCCTTGAGGCCTGTTGCCCACAGTGAAATTGGCAAAAGGCCTTTTGTTTTCCCCGGGCTGTCACAGTCCAGAAGGGTTCTGCATCCCCCTCACTGATCTTGTCTTGTCAGCTGCTATTTGAAAACATTAAAATCTCTCTGCCGTGTGGCTCAGTAGCATTCTGCCAAAGAGCTCTTTTACAGAAACGATTTCTAGATGACTCATGAGGCCAGACAGCACATTCCTGTCATCTTCCAGCACCTGGAAAGGACATCAGTGAACTGGAGGGCTTTCTCGGAAACAGAGCCACTTGGCTGAACTAGCAGCATAGGATTATGGAGGCTCTAGTTGGTGGGAGACAGAGTGGAGGTTGATTTTTCCTCTTGAACGGCTGAAAGAACATAATGCTTACAAAGCACCACATTTCACACCAGCCGGATCATCAGCCTTTTCTTAGCTTCCATCAGGTATTTGAGTGCTGGCGATCACCAGGATTAAAATGAAAATGGTTTCTGAAAGCACGTGGGGTGCTCGGTCGCCTGAAGTGTGCAGAAATCAGCATGTTCAGATTTAATTTGGAGGCATAAAATGTATTTTTCCATCAATATGGGAAGTCTCTTTTATATTAAAGCTGCCAACCTTACCTAATTTCTTATCCTGGTGATTCTGTTCACGCAAACTGTTTCCAGAAATAACTGGTATATACATTTAGCGCAAAATGGAAGTGGATTTAAATACATTGAGAATGTAAAGCAATTTAAGGTAGCAGGAGATGGCTCAGCCCTCCATGTTCAGATCAATATTTGCAGTGGTAGCCGATTGATGCTGTGGCAAAAGCCTTGGAATACCTTGTGAGGATACGGAGAAAACACATGGCCTTATGGAATACAGAACCAGCAACCTTAGGATTTCAAATAATACTGCTTAGAAATGAAATATACCCCAATTTCTTCTTTAATTCCTTTTACCAGGTTCCTGAAAACAACCCTCTTTGGAGGGTTACAGGGACTCCCAGGGTGCCCGTGAAAAGGTAAAAGATAAAGAGCAGCCAAAGATCTGCAAACAGTAGTTATTCTTCCAATTAGATTTTTCAAAGGACAATGGTAAAAGGGAAGGACATCTCGAAAGCTACAACCCATAGGACAGCAGCCTATGATTAGTAGATAGATGGTAATCCTACCACCGAGGATGCCTAGGCCTGTTGTCTCATTTTTAACTGGTCTCTCTCTCACTCCCAGAATTACCTGTTTTATTCGTATTATCTCTGGTTTATTTTTTTTCCTGTTCCTTTATCAAATAAAGGGGCTTTTTCTTACCCTCTTAATTTTAAAGTCAGGCGAGGCTAAATGCCTTCAAAAGGGGAAGTCATTAAAGTTAATTTGCTTTCATTTTATAGAGATACCAAGTAATTTTTCCCACTTGAGGTAATGGGTATGAATGGAAGAGAGATTTCCCCGTCCGTTATATTAGGAGGGGGTCTGGAACTGCACAGATGGAAAGACCCCTAAATACGAGCTTTAATTGAAAGAGAGGAATGGTCACTCTTAGTTTAGAATCTGAGCTTAGCAGAGGTTGGTAAATTGTTTTTATAAAGGGCCAGATAATAAAGACTCAAGGTTATTTGTGGGCTGTGCCATCTCCCGTCTACTCAAATCTGCCCAAGTGGCAAGCCAGCAGCCCTGGGTAGTTCGTAAACAAATGGTCACGGCTGTGTTCCCGTCACACTTTCTTTACAAAAATAGGTTTCGCCCACGGGTGTTAGCTTGCCAACACCTGCTTTCAGGGATATGTGGGGGTGCTCTCAGGTCCCCTCCAGACCAAGGGATTTGTTAGCTGCTTCACCACTGACATCACTGCCGTAAAACTCCCCTCTCAAGGGGAGGTCAGTGTCCTCTTACAGAGATGGTCACAAGGGTACAGGGGCACTTGTATTTTATTACATCGTGGCCTCACGGCCTTAGCGTGGACTCTGTCCTTTGTCATTGCTATTGTTTGTAAACAGCCCTCCTATCGTCCTAATACTTCTTGGAAACGCCTCACAGCTTCTCTGGACAGAGCACAGCACCGGTCCCTTGCTGATCAGCAGCTGGTAACGTGAAGTTGTTGACTCTCGAACATCAAAACCTAAAGAGAACATCAAGAGAATGGAAACGAGATTCATCCATTCTGTGTTTTGCCTTTTTTATGGGTCTTTCTGGGCTGATTTTTAAGAACGTGGGTCCTTATTTATTTGAATAAGAATCTTAAGGTAATTTTTTTTAAATTGCTTTAGGTTAAAAAATCAGTCAGAAACATTTGCAGCTCTTCCTGGGGTCTGTGTAGTGTAGAAGATCAATCTGGCGTTAGTGATCTCCCTCTTTATTTGTAGAAAGTTAGGAGTAGAGCGGGGAAACCAGCTCTCTGGGTTTATGTACTTGCTCAGGACACGACTGTCAACCCTTGGTTTTCTCTCCAGGTACGTTTTTGAGAAGGTGGCACACGGCAGAAATCCAGCCACTGAGCTCCATGTTTCAAAGCCCCTTCACTGTCCTTAGCCCTCGTGGGCCTGTCGCTCCAGTTCACATACGTCTATCCTTCCTTCTAGTCCAGAGGGTGCGCTGCCTTCCACAAGTTCAGCTGGATCCTCTGCCCAAGACCCTCACCCTGGCGTTTGCATCACAGCTAGAGAAGACGTCTCCCTGCCTCACACAACCCATCCCCGAGGCTGACCTTTCTGGAGTGGACCCCAAGCTTGTGTCCAGTCTGCTTCCCTTCCAGAGAGCAGGAGTCAAGTAGGTTCTCTGGTCTTCCCCTTGCCTCACAATCATTCAGTATAGACTGGGTTCAGATGCTCCCTCTTTTAAGAACCCTCATCTCTCTTGGACATTTAGATACATCTGGGCATTAGACAGCCAGGTGTGCTGTAAGCAAAGCCTGATGATTTCAAATTCCATGAGTTAATCAGGACTCTGGATTGCAGGTGTGCAGAAACCCAACTCAGGTTCAAGAAAAGAGATTGTTCGGTGTGTGTGGTAGAAAGCCAAGGCTCTCCAAAGACCTCATCAGAAGTCTCCGCACTGGCGGCTCGGATTTCTCCTCAGTTTGCGTTGTTCTCAGCCTGCTGTGCTCAGGTGTTGCGGCCAGGGCTTGCGTCCATCAGTTTTGCAGACCAATGGAAGCATCTCTTACCTGGTGGGCCCCACGCTGTGGGACCTGAAATCTGGCACCGATGCCGGGACCAGTCGTTGTGGCCTGGGGGCTGGGGGTCTAACTGGTGAGACTGGGTGACAGGCCCACCCCTGGCACCAGCTGATAGCTTCCTCCCCCCTGCCCACTGAGTTACTTGAACTGACAGTGGGAGGTGAGGGTTTTCCAAGAAAGTCAGGGTGGTCTTATAAACAAAAGAGAAGCCCATGTGGTAACCTGTCCTGTTCTCCAGAGCTTCTTGGGAGAGGCCAAATGACAGGTTTGAACTTGCCTTTTAATGAAAATACTGGAGGTCGAGGAGAGGAAAGAGGCGGTCGGGATGGCCGTCCAGAGACAGTAAGAGCTTCATCTGTCATTCGGCGTGTGGTTGGGGCTATGGCCTCGGGGGAAGGGACCCGGTGAACGGAGAGACAGCCTGCCCACAGGCCACCTGCTCCTGAGGGTTGGGAAAGACTGTCTCTGACAGGATTGTGTTCTGCGACTTGGGCACAGTCACACCTCCCCGCCTTCCCGTGGCCCCAGCTCTGCTCACACCCTTTCCCTCGGTTTCCCTCCCAGTTCCATCTGTCTTCGATCACACGCTTTGTTATCTGTCTGGTTCTGTGTGCCAGAACCAGAGCCTGGCCAGTAGCTTCCATCTTTTTCCCTATGGCTCTAAAACGCTAGTGGTACTTGCAGTGTTTCTCAAGAACTTCCTAGTTAAATCCAGATTTTGACTTTCATTCTCTGAAGAGGAGGATTTTTGTGTTGAGGAAAAAGGGCTGTCAGTTCCATGTTGGTTTTATAAGACCTACAGTGAAAACACCCTTAAATTTAGGGAGCAAAATCTCGGTATAAATCCAGTTCCTCTAATATCTAAAAGGTCCCTTTTAACAGGTGACCCAAGAAGGCAGTCATCTGCCTGAAGCCACTCAGCTTCCAGGAGTGGAACTGGAGCTGAAATCCATGTTTGTGGTGAGGAGTGCAGGACTTCTGTTATACCAGCTCTGTGTTTCTTTGGTATGCAGGCGTTTCCTGTGTTCCCATTTTTGGCCACTTTGCTCCTTGGTTGGGCTACTTCAAGGCAGGGACAAAAGGAAAGATCACGAAATTCAAGGGTCTGTTCTGCTTTGAGATTGCCCGGATGGACCAAACCATAGGGACGTTGTGAATGGCTGAAGCAGGTCCTCTCCATGGCTTGTTGCTTAGGTGCCCCTGCCGCCCTGGCCGTCAGTTTTGTCAACTCAAAAGTGAGGTTAAAAAAATGAATCTTTTCACCCTTGCCTTCCCCATCCATCTGTGTGGAGGGTTGGACCTGGAAGTAGTCCAGAAGATTTAACCAAAGCAGGTGTGGCAAGAAGAGGCCAGATCTGTCAGAGAAGTGGGGTGGCACCTCACTGGGCTCCCTTCTGTGCCACTGAATGCATATCGTGGCCGTGGCCCCGGGGGGTGTGGAGGGGAAGCTGCTCCCCTGGTAGGCCGCCGTGGCCGCTGAGGGGTAGAGTGGTGCCATGGCATGACGTGTGTTGTCTGCCCAGCCTGGGAAAGCTGGCTCTTGCCACCTGTAGACGCGCCACTCACTTTTCCACCTTTGCTGAGCGCTGGCTTTGGAAGGGCAGGAATGCTACTTCCAGGCAACTCAGGACCAAGCAGCCTGGAATGGTCGTCAGCCATACCCAGTGCCGATCAGAGGCTGGACTTGCAGCCTTGGCTCTGTGAGAAGGAAAGAAAAAGAGCTAGTTGATGGGCTTATTGGCAGGTTTCTGAGCAAATGATCAGTTTTTCCAGAATTCAGATGAAAGAGGGCTGGTGTTTAGAGCAAGAGACCAGACGTCTGGCACTTGGGATCCTTTTCCCTTTTCACTGATTCATTTGTGAGTCAAGCAAGTCGTCTTTAGTGTTCATCTTGATTATTTTTCTCTTCTTCTGGAATAGTGGTTATAAGAGAAACACTTCCCCAGCACTTAGGAAGGTGCCAGGCACTGCTGTCAGTGCCTTCTTTACATGTGAACTCTGTTCAACCCTGACGATAGCCTCCGGGGCAGGGCCTTTTATTCCCATCTCACAGCTGAGGCACCGGGGGGGTGAGATCACTCCAGCTGCAAAGCATGGACCTGGGATGCCCCCCAGGCCAGTCGGGCATCCGGAGAGTAGAAGAACGTGCCCTTCTTCCCAAGGCATCAGCAGGAGTTGTCGCGCTGGAGGCCTGAGGGACCCTGAGGGCTGCTGGTGGAGGAGAAGCCGCTGAGGCTGGTGCTCCCTGGTAGACACCCTGGCACTGTCGTCCCCTCGGCCTGTCTGCTTCTGTGGTGTCCTCTGTCATGTCCTGCTCCTTCTCTTTGCCCCTGTGCATAAATGTCCTCTCTGACCTCGAGAAAACCTGATTTTGATGCCACCATCTTTCTTCCCTTCCCCTCCAGGCCAACCTCTCAGGTGAACCAGGGCGCCCCTCCCAGGCCCTATTCAGGGGCTGTTTGCCAGCCTGCCCCTCTCTTACTGTCCCAGGTCTCATCTGCCCTGGGCTGAGGGGGCCGCCTCTCTTGGAAGCTTCCTCCCTTGGCTTCCGTGACCCGGTTGTCTTCTAGAGCCTCTCTGCCTTTTGACCACCATTCCACATTGTCCCTATTTTGACTCTTTGGTGTTATTAATGTTACTGTAATGCCGTCCCCTAATTGGCTCCTGTCTTCTCTCTCTGGGGGAGCAGGGCCTGTGGCGCATACTGCGGTGGCCCACATCCAGTGACGCGTATCGCTTTACATGGTGGCCTGATGGCGGGTTAGCCACCGTCCCCGATAGATGTGCCATGCCACTGTCCTCCCCTCGTCTGCTTTCAGTTTTGCAATAGCGAAGAGAGGCCGCCTGCTGCTTGCTGACGACATGGGCCTGGGGAAGACCATCCAAGCCATCTGCATTGCGGCCTTTTACCAGAAGGAGTGGCCGCTCCTGGTGGTGGTACCATCATCTGTGCGCTTCACCTGGGAGCAGGTCAGTTCTCTGTGTGTGGTGATTTTCAGGAAGTGTCCTCAGTATTGAAGCAATCAGATAACAACTTGGGGATGGGCCCGGGGAGCTTTAAAAGATCCTGGGTCAGCTGAAGGAGGAAGGGAGAGGAGGTGGCCTTCTGAGGCCAGGCGCCTGGTTTCCTGACCTAGAATCGGGTTACACCTTTAGGGAAGAGGCGTTATGAGCTCAGACTTGCCTCCATCTGGCAGCAGACGCTTCCTGAGCACCTCGTGCGCCCCTGCCGCTAGCACCCCTCACCTGTAGCACGCTCATGTTCCAAAATGACTGCCTCCTTTATTTCCCTGAATCCTGTAGCAGCTGTGGGAGGAGACACAAGTCAACGTTAACCCCACTTACAGAAGACAGACCGAACCTCAGTGAGGGGAAGCAGCAGGCTCACTGGCAGTTGGAAGCATAGGACCTTGAAGGGGCATCTCCTGAGTGGTTGGCTCAGGGTTTGTTACCCTGCAGATGGTGGCATGGGCAGGATGCTCACTGTCAACCAGGTACCTTTATGGCTGAGGAACCGGACGTGAACACTCTATTAGCATTCGGCCGTGAGCTTTGTTTATCATTAATCCAGGGGTCAGAGTTGTCCTGTGAGATCAATAAACACCCATAGAAGCAAACTTGGTGGAGAGAGGAGACGTCATTCACCGTCTGTAGCTTTTCCCAACTCTCTGCTACTCACAGCAGCTCTCTGTCCCCTCACACGTTGGCTTCTTACTAAGCCCCCACCCTAGCCACTTGTGGAGAAGAGGCGACTCTGCCGGTAGCTGGTCAGCCTGGTGCCCGGCCATGCCCTTCCAGCTAAAGAGAAAGCAAAACTGTAAAAATGTGCACCATAACAATACCTCATTTTTTTTTCCTGTCCTTGTGACCTGAATTCCGCCCCTGCCTCCAGAAGCGAACAGTTGAACACATATTTATTTGGTGTGTGTTAGGTTCCCACAGCACCCTGAGAAAATCTCAAAAAAAAAAAAAAAAATCAGGTGTCACTTAGTTATGAGCAGGATCGAAACTGGTGGAAGAACCAGGCCTTGCCGTCACCAGAATGTGAGCCCGGGGACCCAGCTGCTGACACCCGGGCACCTGGTGGCCTTGCATTGGCTCTAGGCCCTGGCTTGGGCTAGGGATGGCACGATGTCTGGAGAGAGCGGGCAGTACGTACCTTTGTCATTATCAGTATCTTCGGTATCTACCAGGATCGCTAAAAATTCCTTTATAAACTTCCTCTTGGAAAGAGTCATTCTCTCGCTGCAGAAACTTGCAGCGTCTGTTGGAGATTTGAGTCCTGAGATCCAGACACCACAGTGACTGCCAACAAGCGCCTACTTAGAGGCAGCCAGTGTCGTGAGTGGAAAGTGAAGGAGCGGTTGGTAGGAGCGCAGTGGAGGTGATCACTGTTCGTGGGCCCAAGGGCACCAGCAAATACAGCGGATGTGGAGAGAAAGGCGCCGAGTTCGCTTCTTGGGGGGCATTCACGTTGTCCACTGAGAGAGTGCCGTTGGTGGGCGGGCTGGGGTCTCAGCTGGCCGCTGCCGGCCGCATGCCCCAGGTTTCATTCTCCCCTGTCCTCCCCAGGCCTTCCTTCGGTGGCTGCCATCTCTGAGCCCGGAGCGCGTCAATGTCGTGGTGACCGGCAAGGACCGCCTGACAGCTGGCTTGGTCAACATTGTCAGTTTTGACCTTCTGAGCAAGTTAGAAAAACAGCTAAAAACTCCTTTTAAAGTTGTCATCATCGTAAGTGACTTGGCAAAGTCTTTAAGTACTTCGTCTCTGGGGAAACTTTCTTCTTAAAAGCCCTGAGAACTTTCATGTCTGTGATCTCCCTGAGCCTCCCTCTGTTTCTAGGAGAATAGAAAATCACTGTCTTTATCTTGCGAGAAACCGACATTTCACTCATCTCAAATAGCAGTTCTCCACCCCGGCTGCATATTAGAATCTCCCGGGGAGCTCTTTGAAAAGTGGCATTTATAGGTCTGAGCTGGGGGTTTGCAGCCCGTCTCTCCAGCGTGAGGTCATGACTGGAGGCCAGCATGGACATCCAGGCCACCGGCCTGGACAGCAATGGCATGTACCTTCATCCAGTGCCCTCTTGTCCAAGTGGCTCAGGCACACAGTTCAAATAGGAAGTTTTTTTCCCAACCAATATAAAGACACTCCCTCCTCCCCCACCCCAAAAAAGTACAGCCGACCCTTGAACAACATGGGTTTGAACTGCATGGGCAAGGTTTTTTTTTTTCAATAAATATGGCACGGTACAATAAATGTGTTTTCCTTATGATTTTCTTCATATTTTTTTCTCTAGTTTACTTTTTTGGAAGAATACAGTAAGTAATCCTATAACATTCAAAATACGTGCTAATTGACTAAGTTATCAGTAAGGCTGCTGGGTGAGGAGTTAAATTTTGAGGGAATCAAAAGTATATGCAGACTTCTGACTGCACAAGATTGGGGGGCTGCGCACCCCTAGCCCCTGTGGCATCCAAGGGCCAGCTGTACTTTTCACTCTAGTTGAATTTTGTTTTGTTTTGTTTTGTTTTCCTTAAGTAGGCTTTACTCTAGTTCTGCTCCCAGGTATAACAGCATATCTTTCATTTAACTGGCTTCCCTTCTTTTCATTACTCAAGTCGTCTGTAAGGAAAGTCCAGAGAGACCTGGTGGCAGCCAGCTGGCAGAACTCAGGGTATTCACCTGGCTTACAAATAAAGATTAGGAAAAGGCATGCAGCCCCCCGACCCCTGGTACAGGTCACCACTAATAGACGTTCAGGGCCACAGAGCACAGTGGATGATTTTCACTGGAGATTTATCCTGGTTTTTCCTCTTGGAAAAATGGGAACCCAGTGCCTTTGGATGACACGAAAGGTTCTTTATTCAGACGTGTGAATTTTAAAAGCCCGTGGTATTTTTCCTTCTCTTAAAAACAGAATCCTCTGCTGACAGTGGCTTCCCAAATCCTGATGCTCAGAATGTGCAGTGCATATCTTAGCTAGAAAGGAGAGAAAGGAATGTGTTTTTGAAGAGGCCTAGAAAAGTCAACATGATTGCAGCAGAGCCTGGGGCTTTCTCAGCGCGGGGCTGGCTGTAGGGGAGGCTCGTTCATCCACGTGTCTGGCCAACCGTTGAGCACCAGCCCCACACCCTGTACAGTGCTGTGCACTGAGGATGTGGAGGAAAGTTCACCCCGTGCTCCGAGATACCACAGTCCCACAGGACAGACAACATGCGTAGATAATTAGAATACACGTTAGTGCTTCCACAGCTGTGTGAACCAAGTATTGGGAGCTCAGAGAAGGGAAGAAGACACAGTTGCTGGCCTCAGTGATCTAGTCTCATGACTCGGATGTGAGAACCATACCATGTTCTTATTCTTAGCGTAAGCAAACTTAAATGTTTATATGTGTCCACAGCTGGAAGGGTAATGAGTCTTTGGGGGAGTCGTTTCTGGTTTGGCACAAATTCAAGTGTGCTTTGAAAAACTGTTAGTATACATGTGAAATGAAAACATGAAAAGAAGTATCCCGGGATGATGGTGATGGTTCTACAGCACGTAGGAAGAATAATGCCGTCGTTTCTTGAGTGCTCTCCTGTGTCAGGTACCTTAGGTGTAATTGCCCATCGTCCCAGTGGCCCCTAAGGCAGACATTATGTCCCATTTCACCACTGCTGGAACTGACGAGGAGAGCGGTGTCCCGTGATTTGCCCACAGGCGTGAAGCCAGCAGGATGGGGCGTCATTGATCAAAGCTGGACTGCATCTGGCTTTGGAATTCATGTGCTTCTGTCTCTGACTCAACACTTCAACCTGCCATATGATTTTTGGCAAGCTGCTCACCACCCATGTTGGTTTGTCTTCAGTTATTTAAGAGCCTTGTCTTCTGATTTCAGAGAAACGTTATAGGAAGGAATAAAGTGTCAGCTCTAAGATGTCTAAGAGAATTCACGTGTAAGCCATTCCTTGTGGTTAGTTATAATAATGGTACATTTTAGCCCATTGGTTGAAAGGATCCGTTCCCTTCTGCATCCTCTGTTCTTCCTGCTGTTTCTCACTATAAACCCTTTCCTTCTTGGCTGTCATGTGGGCTCATCGTCAGACAGGAGTACGAGTGTTACACTCTGGGTTTCCAGGAGTAGATACTCTGACATTTGTGGGTTCATCTTGCACTCCCCTCCATTGTGCTTTTGAGGTCTGTTTTGGTTCATCATAGCTGAAATGGAACGGGAGGTTTCTTACAGATCACCTCTAGAGATAGAGCCGGGATCCCCTGGGATCTCCATTGTGGGGTGGCCGATACCACTGAGTGCTGAGTTAAGTGGCAGGACTGTTCGAAGGGCTTTATGTGTGTTCTAGCCCAATAAGACCTAGAGCAACCTGACGAGTTAGGTAGTGCTGTTTTACCCATTTTATTTATGGAGAAACTAGCACTATAGAGCCGTGGTTGCTCAGGTATGTAGCAAGTAATTTGAATGTGTACCAAAATAGAAATTTCTGCCCCATATACTAAGATTGTGTTAGTTACTCATTTGGCTTTAGAAAATACGATATGGGTACCTGATTGGCTCAGTTGGTAGAGCATGTGACTCTTGATTTCAGGATTGTCAGTTTGCACCCCATGTTGGGTGTAGAGATTACTTTAAAATCTTTGGGGCACCGGGTGGCACAGTCTTGTTTTCAGGTCTGCTCTTAGGGTCGTAAGATCGAGCCCCACATCAGGCTCCACACTCAGCATGGAATCTGCTTGAGTTTCTCTCTCCCTCCCCTCTGCCCTTCGCCCCTTCTTGCACACTCTTTCTTTCCCAAATAAATAAATCTTAAAAAATGATAAAATCTTTTTTTTTTTAAAAAAAAGAGCAGAAAATATACATATTCTAGTTTATTTATGCATAGAATGCAGAGCTATAAATAAATAAAACTCCATGTTGTAAAGCTGACAGTCGCTCTGGCGTCACGTTGTGCAGACGTGAGGCACGTCTTGCTGACCAGCAAACCACCCCTCAGTAGTTCGTTCAGTGCCATCTGAGAGGGGAGCCGGGCAGAGAGTCCCTAATCCTGCTTAACAGCTAGAAAACTGTCCTGAAAAGATGACTCGCCCAGAATACAGTGGGGAAGCAGCACCAGAATCTGGGTCCTCACCAAGGCCCACAGCTGTCTCCTTGAACAAGAAACTGCTAAGGGAGGTGTCCTCAATGTGATGCCGTGCCAGGGTCAAGCTTCACATGGGCTCTGTCTCCATTCAGGATTTGGCCTTGTTCACCTGTGTCACTGTTTCTTTTCAGGATGAGTCTCACTTCCTCAAGAATATAAAGACTGCCCGCTGCCGCGCAGCCATGCCCCTCCTCAAGGTGAGTCCTGTGGAGAATAGGCTGGGAGCTTGAGTGCACTCGGCCTTGGGGTCCTGCTGTATCTTGCACAGGGTTCAGGCATTGACGTCGGCCGTTGAAGGTAGGCCTCCAGTGCCAGGCTTGTTTTTCTCTAACTTCTGCTAAGGAACTGGTGCTTGAGGCAATCATTTCTGTCTCGCAAAGATGAAGGCCTATTGAATATTGAAGATCACAGGCTGGATGGGGACTGCCCTGTAGATCCTCCTCGGGCTCCTGGACAAGGCAGAGGGGAGCCGCCAGCAGCATGCCCTCTGAACAGCTCAGGAGAAACCACCTGTCTTCTCAGTCACTGGTTGGGGCAGAGCTCTCATGGTGCTAAGAACCAAGGGAGATGAGCCATCCAGGCTTGGGACCAGGCCATCGGGTATCCGCAAGAAGCGTTGGGAAAGCTGAGGTGTGCCTCCTAAGCTGATGCCCTTTCCCAGGGCCACCCTAAGCCTGTTTTTGCTAACGAGAGGGTCAGCCATCCACACCCCTTATTGTGATGGTCTCAACTGAGGCCTGACCGCTCTGGTTGAGCCCTGGCTTCAGAGCAGGCAGGATGTGGACATAGTGTAGCTTGGCACACACTCCCAGCCCTCCTATCCCAGACAGTGGGAGGCCCCCAAATTTCCTCCCGTTTTTCTATGGTGAGCTTTTTTTAATATTGGGGGAAACTAGTACTATTAGGAAGTAGCTTTTTCTCTTATAACCAGATAGAAATCTCCCACAGGGGAGAATCTACTTTGGTTTATGTAGACTGAGCAAACAAAAGTATATGTTTGTCTTGTGCTTTATTAAAGCAGCCTTTGTGTTGTGCCAGCACTTTCCAACTGCAGCATTTATTGCTTAAAAGGAAGCTTTAAATTGTACTTAAACTAGGGAAAACAAATATGCTAAATGTTGGTGAAACTTATTAACACTTGAGAAATTTTTTTGTTTTAATTTTATTTATTTATGAAAGACAGAGGGAGAGACACAGGCAGAGGGAGAAGCTGGCTCCATGCAGGGAGCCCGACGTGGGACTAGATCCCAGGACCCTGGGGTCACGCCGGGCCGAAGGCAGATGCTCAACCGCTGAGACACCCAGGCGTCCTAACATTCGAAAATTAACTTAATTTTTCCAATTCTTCATAAAGCACAACTGCCTGCTCGTTTCAGGTTTTGTTTTGTCTTAAGAATAACAAGTAACAGGATGTGTCTTCCAAAGCAGGATTATGCCCTGTGCTCCAAACTTAAAAATCCTGATCCTCTGCTCACATTACCTATAAATATTTATGGACACACTTAAACGTTTTTTTCCCAGAGCAATGACCCTTCTTTTGGGAAGCTGCAGTATATTTTCTTTTGAAACATGTTAACAGATCTTTGTACTGCGGTTCTAGTATTACAGCCATACCTAGGATTAAATCTGTGCCCCTGATTGCTTAGACAGAAGAAGCTGTGCAGTAGATAGGCTGTATCATTACAGGTACAGTAGGAAAACTTCTTTTTAAAGAAGATGGGGAAAAAGGTTTATTTATTAGCGAAAAAGAGAGCATGAGCAGGGGGAGGGGCAGAGGGAGAGGGAGAAGCACGCACCCACTGAGCAGGGGGCCCGATGCAGGGTTCCATCCCTGGACCTGATCCCCAGGACCCAGGGATTATGACCTGAGCGGAAGGCAGACACTGAACTGAGGCCACACAGGCTCCCCAGTAGGAAAGCTTCTGAGCAAGCATCTTGTTCATGCAGTTGTTGCCCAGCCAGGCAAGCTGGACTACATACTTGTTTCCAAAATATATGCTTCTGGGTCAGACCTTTTAAAGCACTATTTCTTTTCTTTTTCTTTTTTTTTTAAAGATTTTATTTAATCATGAGAGACAGAAAGAGAGAGAGGCAGAGACACAGGCAAAGGGAGAAGCAGGCTCCATGCAGGGAGCCCAATGCGGGACTCAATGCCAGGTCTCCAGGATCACTTCCTGGGCTGAAGGCTGCGCTAAACCACCGAGCCACCAGCGTTGCTCTAAAACAGTATTTCTATCTTTAGTATGGGGATATTTCAAATTGACACATTTAAGAGAAATATTTAAGCTGTTAACTAGTATAGATTACTTTGCGTTTGCTATAGAACTTGGATGAGTTAACACTTAAAGATAGGACCCACAAACAGAGCCTGCTGTTTGTGGAAGTGTCTTGAAGTCCCTCTTATCTGTAATGTTGACTTCACAGGATTCTGGACTGGTGGTAAGTTTGGAGGTGGGGCTGAGGCATTATGCACTTTCATTATGACCTTTCATCCCTCTGCTGTGTTTTCATCTAGATGAGAGTCTCTCAGTCTCAGCACTACTGACACTTTGGGCTGGGTCATTCTTTGCTGTGCAGAGCCGTCCTGTGTGTGCCGTAGGAGGTTTTGTGGCATCCCTGGCCTCTACACACTAATTGCCAGTTGGTCCCACCAGTAGTGACAACTGAAATTACCTCCAGTCGTTGCCAAACATGCCCTGGGAGGGGCAGATCACTCCTCCCCATCTCTGATCAGAACCACTGATCTAGGTACTCCAAGAAGATGAATCTAAATATTTTCAGAAAAAGAGGAAAATTGAAAGAACTAAAATATGCCTTTGAAAAGCCACGTAAGGGCCTAATTTAGTACCACTTGATTGTTCCTCTAACCAGCACATCTCCTAGAACTGTAGTCTCATAATTAATATCTCGAGACACGTTCGGCAAACGTGCATGATAGGTAATTAGGTTATATCCTACAGTCTGTGAGATAGCCACGTCAGGTCGTTTCCCAGAAATGTGGGGAACATGAGCAGTGACAGCAGGCACACGCGGGGCGCGTGTGGCTTAGGTTGTAGAAAACTGGTGTCGTTATTCCCCTGGGAAGTGTGACATCTTTCTTCCCCCACAGCACTATTGGTTTGAGTGACTAAGCAAGGTAGTTATATTTTTGATGTACACATGTGTTAAAGGAGGCAAGACAGAAAGCTAAAAGAACAAGATTCGAATCACCTTAATTCCCTTCAACAGAGAAAAACCACCGTTAACATGTCTGTTGTAGGGCAAAGTCATAATTTTTAATGACTCTAGATCCTTCTGGCATATGGGTGCATCCCATAATTTAACCCTTACTGTTGGACATCGTTTTGCTCTTAGAAATAATTCTGCAAGTGACCATCATCATGTACTTGTACCTTGTGTACTTTGACCTGTTAGGACAAATTCCTACACAGAGTTACTGGGTCAAAATTTCACTTTTCAATGGTTGCTTCTGAAGGCCAGTGTGGCCAGGCATAACCGTCTTTATTCCCGCTTGACCTGAATCCCATAGTCCTTTCCATGAGACTCTAACTTGAAGGTTGTCAATCTCTTGCTTTAGAGCAGTGAGGTATGTGTTTGAGTTTGTCTTTGATTTATAGTGCTTTTTATTGTCAGACCAATGTTCAATTGTTTCTTTAGAGGGAAAAAGCCCTCAGAATCCCACCATCCCTCCCTAATAAATAGCAATTTCTCTTTTTCTGTGAGTAGAGTTCTTTTACTTTTTTTTTTTTTTTTTAAGATTTTATGTATTTATTCATGAGAGAGACAGAGAGAGAGGCAGAGACACAGGCAGAGGGAGAAGCAGGCTCCATGCAGGGAGCCTGATGCAGGACTGGATCCCAGGACCCCAGGTTCACGACCTGAGCCGAAGGCAGATGCTCAACCACTGAACCACCCAGGTGCCCCTCCTTTTACATTTCTGCTGATTGGTTAGATGAGGTGAGAGTAGTGGCCTAAAATGTATGAGCTTTTTCTTTTTCCTTTCTCAAGAAAGGAGTTTAAGTAGATGATATATTCAAAAGTGTGTATGGTGAAAAGTAACTCCCACCTCTGGGCCCCTGACTCCTTGATTTCTGTCCCCAAAGGTAGCCAGAGTTACCAGACTCTCAGTTTTACTTGTAAAATTTAGTCTGTGCTGAGGTAAGCATGGGTGCGTGTGTTTCTTTCCTCCCTCCCTAGAGTGTTGTACAACCACTGTTTTGCTCCTACCTTTTTTCTCATAATAGTATGTCTTAGAAATCATCCCACCTCATTTCAGATGACTCGGCCTCATTCTAACAAAGAGTATTGTATAAATCTATCATAGTAGATTTGTTCCCTTTTGATGGATTTTTAGCCAGGCTTTGGCCATGACGTATGGTACTTCGGTCTTTGAAGGTGATCTGCCCCTGCAGTGTCTGTTCCTATGACAAAATTTCTCTCAGACATCACAAAGAAATTATTTTTTTTACGTTGCTCCACTATGGGTTTCTTGGGTGCCATTCTCTTTCGTTAGCCGGAGGAGTTGACTCTGAAGTGTTCAGTTTAGTGTTGATGTACCTAGTTTTATTCATTTCTGTTTTTCTAAATTGGAGGCTCTCCGAGGTGGAGGGTGACCCATAAATCCTGTGCAGTTGGGCAGGATTAAAGGCTGCATGGGTGACAGTGTTGACAGGGAGCAGGCTAAATCATTCCAGAACAGATAAGACGCTCTTCTGCCTTTTCAGAGCTGGCCTTTCTCTTCCTCCATAATGCTGCCTCTGCTTTTTAAACACCCACAAATGTCCATTTTCAACGGTGTCATCACCGCTTGTCTGGACAGTATTTGGGAGAATGGGCTCTGAATTAACTCCGTCCTGTAAATACCCAACCGAGAACCTGGGAGTTATTTTCCATCACCTGATCTGTGAGCTGTCTCTGCCCAGGCTCCATCCCAGGACAACAGCACCAATGTGGGCAATAGGTTTGGGATGATAGGACGATTTTCTCTTATTGATAAGACTTCTCATTTTCCCCATTTCATTGAAATGGTCTTGAGCCAAGGCAAGTGATGCTACAGACGTCATTCAAGAAGCTCATTGTTATTTTAATGAGTCTGCATTAAACCATGCAGGAAATTAGGAGCCTGGGTAATTGAACTGTGGAAAATTATAGCTGGAGAAATTCATAGCTCTCCTGTCATAATGGAATTAGGTATTGGCAATCACTGAGAGGGCAAAAGTGCATCTTGAGAGTTGTATATATTGTATATTTACAAAGAATCATTTTTCTTCCCTGTGTTGTACCTTTATTTATTTATTTTTATGAGGCAGCTTATCCATTTGAAAACCTAATTTCCTCCCCTTGGTAATTTATTGCATGACATTGCCTTATGCTCCCCTTGTTAACTCAAGGTTACAGTGGTTAACAAGGTGTTTCTAGACAACTGAGCTCCCTGGTAGGCTTCCTTCCCAGGGCCCAGGTGGATTTTTACCTCCAGGAATTTGGGGCCATTCTGTGGCCTAATACAGTGGGGGTGTCTCCTTTATTCTCATCCTCTTTCCCACCTTAGTAAGACGTGGGATATTTCGGTCATGTCTCCTTGGGTCAGCCTGGTGTCAGGCCTTTGAGGAACCCACAGTCCATCATTGGAATCCACCATTTATTTCTATCTTCCGCACTGCTGAGCAGGCTGCTGCAGACCTGGGCTGAATTTAGGGTAAATGGACATAGGTCCTGCTTTTTAAAGTCCTTATTAACTGCAAAATGAGTGAAGTCAGGGAGCCCTGGGCTCAAAGCATTGTGCAGGTGAGTTAGTGACTGTCTTTTTTCCCCTCCAAAGAAAATTGGGTAGAGGCTTGTGTGTGCTGGTGCCCCTGACTTTTTCTCGTGGCCATGAGAAGGGTTTGGTCCTCAGTGTCATTATCTGACCAGGGAGTTCAACTTGGATATCAGAGATCCCCTCTAGGAGAAGGTCAGAGCTGTTGCTCTCTCCCCCAGTCCCATTTCTTCTTCCAATGCTGGATTCTTTGAGTTAATTCTATCTTCCTAGGGACCCTGGTTAGCTGTATAGTTTCCAGCCTACAGTGAACATTTGCTGATTGCTTACCTTGTCGCAGGCACCATGCTACAGAAGGTAAAGATGAACACAGCTCTGATCTCAAGACACTTGTAGTCTAGTAAGGGAGACGGAAAAGGTGGAATTCAGTATAACGTGCTAAGTCCTGATGTAGGGACTTGTGGCAAGGGCAGCCTAGGCGGTGGTGTCCAACTGTTTACATGAGTCACACCGTGAGGTTCTTAGAACATGCTCCTCTTCTCTGGCCACAGTACCTCTGCTTAGATTTCCCAGGTATGGGCCACATTGGGATCTGGAGTGAGACCAACCTGCAGTGTCTTTGGGAACTAGATCTCCCTGGGTTTCCAGAGGAGTAAACTGGAGAACTGCCAGCGGTCAGGGTGCCCAGGTAGTGATGGTGCTCTCAGGGGTACAACATCCCGGGGGGTGGGGCATCCATCTCTGATCCCAGCAGGACATTTGGGATATTCTCTATGTGCTCATCTGTGTGCTCTCAGCACCTTTGGCTCTCTGTCTTCCAGGTTGCGAAGAGAGTGATCCTGCTATCCGGCACACCAGCCATGTCCCGGCCCGCAGAGCTCTACACCCAGATCATCGGGGTCAGGCCAACTTTCTTCCCTCAGTTTCATGCTTTTGGACTTCGCTACTGTGATGCCAAGCGGGTATTTATTCTCTTCTCTCCTCCCCTCCTCCCCACCTGGCCCTCACCCTGATTTTGACCCTTAGATTTTTGTTGCTTCTCTTTGGCTATGGTATGATCAGAAGCACACTGCCCAGGGAGGCAGATCCAGATTTTCCGCCTGCTTTGCCGCTAGTTCTGACCTTCAAATGTCCTTGAGGATAAGGACAGTCCCTCCTAGTTTCTGTGCTTAATGGTGATTCCAGGGTAGTGTTTCCCAGTGAGGGGACCGTGGCTGATGCATATTTGCGTAGAGCTCTGAGAAGGGCACAGAGGTGAGCTTGGGAGGTGAGCTAGGGGTGCAGCTGGGGAAAAGACAACAGAGGCCTCGAAACAGGTGGAGCGGGGAGTGTGATCTGGAGCTGCCTCGGTGGGTTCTCAACAGTCAGAATGTCCACTTGTGACAGTGAAATGTGCCTGCTCATTAGGCCTCTGACTTACAGATTATCTGTGGACATACAGTGCCAATGGGGCAGGTGCCTCTGGGGCCACAGCCTGCACACCTTCAGTCTCCCAGAAACGGCAGAAGGAGCTTGTAAATGCAAGTGCCATTGCAGTCAAAACCTGGATTTCTAAAACCTCGATTTTTTTTAACTGAAAAATTTATTTAATGACATGGGGAAATACAAGAGTGTTGGGAAAAAAGGATGCAAAATTTTCCCCATCATTCATTCATTCATTCCTTCTCTCTTTCTCCCCCTCTCTCTTCCTCTGTCCTTCTCCGCTCCTGTCTTTCATATATGACTGGAAGATAACATACACCAAAATGGGTTACTTTTCTAAGTGAGAAACTTGACATTTTCTTGATGTTTAAGTTCTATCATTCACCAGTCCTCCTGGTGGGCCACTGAATCCATCAGTGTTCATCAATCTGATCCAGCCAGCTGAGCATGGGGCACTGTCCTCCTCCAGAGAGGAGGCTCCTGAGCTGAACCTCCATGATGTCCTCTCTCTTCTTGTCTGTGGTCGTGGCGCCTGCCAGTAGGACACCACTCCTCTGTTTGCTGGTATGCCAGGGTCTTGGTTGGCCACGGGGGACGGAAGCAGGAGGCCCAGTTAGTGACCTCGCTGACCAGGACGGCTGGGAGGCAGGTCGGGCTGGCTGACATCATCTTCCCACGCCCCCTAGTAGCTTAGCTCTCTCTGACCCGGGCTCTGGAACTTCCACAGTTGAAAAACTGCAGGAAAGAAAGATTTACCAATTTTTCTTTCTCATCTCTATCTTTGAAACTGCCGGGGCAATGAATTTATCTTTCAGCAGCAGGCCTTCGTCTGGCAAGGTCAGACTTCTAAAACTCCTAAACTCTGCTCCCACGGGGGCCCAAGTGGCCCTGAATTAGAACAGCAAACCCTGGCCCCTCTCTCAAGTGTCGATCACTTCTCCTTTTCCCCAGCTGTTCTGCTGTAACTTCGTAAACCTTGATGCCACAACCAGAGCTACGCCTGACTGCTTTCTTGCGGGTGGCACGCACCTGCTACAGAGGCTCCAGCCCGACTCTGAGACCTCATTAGTTCAGACCTTAAGGAGTCCTGTTTCGTGATCAAATGGCAAATATACTGAGCTACTATTTGCATCGAAGATGCTGACACTTCGGAGAAATGGCTGTTGCTTACTCATTACGCATGCCATCTTGAGGAAAAAGCCTTGCTATGCAAGTTTGTGATGTAAATAAGATTGTCTGCCTTAGTTTTTAAATACTTTTTTCAAAAAACTTTTCAAGTACTTTAAAAATACCACTTACGTTTAAACAAAGTACTTATAATGTAAATTGTAGTGCTTTGCAAAGTTAATTGCAAACCATTTTTAGCTGCTTATTGAGGCAAGAAATTTCTGTTATTAAATGTATTTAAAGCCATACACTTCCTTAACAAAATCTGCAGTGCACTTTCCCCATGGACCAATCCAGATTAGAATCTGCATGGTTGTCATGATCCCTCAAAACTCTTCATGAGTGATTTGTGCCTCTGTCCTATTTGCAAATGACCTACTTTCTGGGAAGGATCTTCTCTTCTTGGACTATCTGGGCTCATGGTGTAATGTTTAGCCAGTGATGGTAGGGGCTGAAGACAGAATTCGTCAGCTTTACCCCCAGGCTGCCCCTTCTTGTGTCCCCAGTCTCCATCCACCATCTCCGCAGTCCTCATGCCATCCTTATTAGATTCATCCTTTCTCTCCTTCTCAGTGTGCCCCCCACCCACTAACACCCGAGAAGACAAACACAGACCATGCCTTCCTATCCTTTCACCTCGTCCAGGGCCTGCTCCTTGGTAAATTTTCAATAAAAGCTCGTTGGATTGTTAATTTTCCACATTTTAAATCTTTGGTATTACTGATTTTAACCTACAAGCTTAAAAGCTGGCACAGGAGCATGATATCCAAATTAATTATGGTATCTGCTTGTTCCCAGCATGATTTTCATTTAATGCAGCCCATAGGCTAGGGCTGCTTTTCTTTTCTTTTTCTTCTTTCTTTTTTTTTTTTTTTTTTTTTAAACTGACCAGCTTCTTGCATTGAGAGAAGCCACTGAAGAAAATGCCCCTTGCTGAGTTAATTTTCAACCCCATTGCATGAAGGCATTTGCCGAGAACTGCCAGTTGATTTCAGAGTATTTTTTTAAAGAAGAAGCCATTTTTGATCATTTTACTTCTCTGCCTTTGACCATCTCTTCCTATTCTGTATTTAGTAGAGGTTTATAGGACACCCGCCACGTCTTTACAATTAGAGACTAGGTCCACTGGCCCTTGAAAATGAACAAGCCTACCTTCTACCTAAGGTGGCTCATGATCCAGGGGAGGTTGAGGCAGGAAGGGAGACAAGCAGCTAGGAAACATAAGGCAGCAGACACCCTGGTTCCTGCATTTTCTGCGGGACTGTAGATGTCAGTTCTATTTCGAGTAAGTGTTAGTGAAGGGTACGGTTTTCATTTTGACATCTTCTCTAGTTGTGGGACCGGGAATAGATACTCTTGCTCATTGCCTCCCATGAACTACAAAGTGAAGAAACCATTTTTATGAAGGACCGCTTGGGTACCATGAAACCTGCCTCTGGTCTCAGCCAGGCTGGCAAAAGCTTGTGCTTTGAGTTCCCCCCTTTAGTTCCAGCAACTGCAGCAATGCTGTGTTCATCTCACTGCTCTCGGCCGTGCCGGGATAGCCTGTTTTAAATGAACAGCAGCCTCTTAAATCTCAATGCATCTCCTCAAGCAGAGATATTACTGAACACGGGACTTGTTACAATGTGCAGTGGACTCTAGGATACGCCCCAGGGGAGATGTGATTTCATTGTTTAGAATACAGGAATAGTCTGACAAGCTGAGTGTCTTGTTTGATTTTAAATGTAATGGACACCAGCCCTCTCAGCATCTTGCATTTGCTGCTCGGAAGTTTGGCATGTAGAATGCCGAGATAGTGGTTTTTAGTTGCTTTATTCCTGACTTTCTTTTTCTCTTTTCCTTCCTTGTTCCCATCTCTGTCCTGTGAGGTTTTATTCATCCTTTAGAGCCACTTGAAGTTCTCTGAGCAAAGCCACGGGAAGAGAAAGTTGTGAGCAGGTTGAGGTCCCACCCTGGCTAACGTGACCCTGGGAGAACCTAACGGGCACTGTGGCCTGGTTCTCTCTCCACAGCAGCCCTGGGGATGGGACTATTCGGGCTCCTCCAACCTGGGCGAGCTGAAGCTCCTGCTGGAGGAAGCGGTCATGCTGCGACGCCTCAAGTGTGATGTCCTTGCTCAGCTCCCACCCAAGCAGCGCAAGATGGTCATCATTGCCCCTGGCCGGATCAGCACCAGGGCCAGAGCCGCCCTGGATGCCGTGGCCAAGGAAATGACCACAATGGACAAAACTGTGAGTCTGGGGCTTGAGATGGGGATTGGGAATTTGAGCTGTTCCTTCTCGGGAGTGGGCCTGCAGGGGTTACCCAGGGTTCTCTGAGCTTGCTGGGCTATGACCTCTTCCCACGCTCCTGGGCAAGGACGCTGAGCCCATGCCATTTCTCAGCCTACCTTGTCTGCTTCCAAAATCTCTTACTAATTTGTGGTTTTACACACGTGTAGATCAGATCACTGTTGACAGTTGGTCGTAAAAATAAACCCCATGGCAACTGCAGAATGGTGATGTATGTTCTGAATCCCTCAAAGAGAGTTGGAATTTATATTTATTTAGTATATTTTGAGAATGTCTAGTAACTGTTAGTCTAGTAACAGAAGCTAGTTCTAGGTGTATTTGATGCGTATGTTAACCCTCTTTTAGTCAAAATAACAAATTGGCATATAACAAAGTAGGGTTTTCAAATCCTCTTAACCCTTAATCCTTATTAACAGTTACTTACGGTTGGCAAGAAGTTGGCATCCCCATTTTACAGAAAGGGAAACTAGGGCCCGCAGAGAATGTGATTGACTCAGTCTTACAGCGGCTCCATGGCAGACCTGAGGCTGTAACCGAACCTGTTACCCCTATACTTTAAGGTCTTTCCACTATGTTGGTTTTATCTTTTCAAAACACTTTCCTATCTGTCTTTAGTGTCACACTGTGCTAAGTGCTGTAAAATAATTTACACCAGTTCCACTTCTGTCCTTTTGGGATAAAACCCTGCAGTTTTCATTGCCAAGAAAATAACAGTTGTTGACATTTTTTGACATTATCATAAAGCATTATCTGGGCTTGTTATTACCCTGCATAAAGAAACTTAGATCAAGATGAGATCCCAGCCTTCTGGGAGAGCACAAAATAAATAGGAATGACAAGAGACCGATGCATGGGGTTTTTTTGTGTTATTTTACCACATTGAGAGTAAGACCAGTGGGTAACTCTTAAGAAACAAGAGTGTAGTATGTTGTTGAGCTGTATTTAATTTCTGCTGTACATGTATGTAATAATCTGGGTAGTGTGGAGGAAATGAGCAGCCATAATCTTTTTGCTGTGGATTTTCCAACAAAGTTCTCTAACATCGATGTGTATATACATACAGACCAGTGGTCCTCCACCTGTATTTCAGCGGAACATGAGCAGAAGCAGATGCTCTGTTACTAAAATCACTGTCAGTTGGCTTTTTCCGATTTCTAGAGTTAAAAATTCAGTGAATGGAAATTCTCCCCCCCTTTTTTAAGATTTATTTATTTATTTACTTATTAGAGAGGGAGAGCATGCTGGGGGCAGGCACAGAGGGAGAATTGGAAGCAGACTCACTGAGTGCAGAGCCCATCATGGAGCTTGATCTCACAAGACCTGAGCCAAAATCAAGAGTCAACTGCTCAACAGACTGAGCCACCCAGGCACCCCTGAGTGGAAATTCTCTTTCTCAGTTTTAAGCTTTTTCTTATAATTCTCTTAAATCTTTAATGTCTACTAACTGCTGCCCACAAGTGAATTCTGCCATCAAGAAAACCAATGAACAAGTATGGCAAATATATTAATGGGAAAATTCAGATGTAGGATGTTTTTAGGTGCAAAGATCTGAGTGTTCATGTTCTGCGTTTTAGTTCCTCCTGTGTGTGCTGGAAGTAAGCCTATCGGTATTTCGTGGAATTCTCCCGGAGAACCTCTTCACCTGTACCTGGTCCCCCTCCCAAACCAGGCAGAGAACAGCCCATGTAGACAACAGAAAAAGTGATCAGTGGGCATTTGAATTGAGGAGGGACAGCGCATTGAGTGGCCAAGGGGCAACTGTAAATTGTGCAATATGGCTAAAGAGAAAAAGAAGTATGGGAATTTTTAACTTAGTGCAGCAAGATTTAATAACATTTGAGAATTTTTTTTGCCAGGTTATGTAAGGGGGCTTACTTTACTTTAGGGGGCTTACTTTAGGGGGCTCTTTCTAAAGATGATTTCAGATACAGCTTGGAGTTTTGATTTCTGAGTTCACAGGCAATAATGTGAAATTTAGTAGGCTAAACTATGGAAATCAGGAATGTTGGGTATTTTTATAACTTGCAGTAGCTGTGTAAATCCCTTAAGTTCTTTGGGATGTTTTGATATCTTCTTACCTAAAAAGGGGAGTCATGACTTGCCTCATATGCCTGGTGCTGGAAATGTTCCTAAGGGCTGTGTCAGTTGCTCTGAGTCCATCCTGTTGGGTGATTGGTCTCCCTACTTCTTCACCCCAGAGTCTTAACACTGTTGTGCAGATTATGCAAAACCTAGGCTGCAGTGTAATTCAAGAATCCAGCAGAGAAAGAACCTAGAGCTCTTCTCAGGTCCAGTGCTTGGGAGTTGCTTTGTTTCCTTGGCATCTTAGGAAAATTAGGAGTTTGTCCCTAAAAGAGAGAAATTGAGTTGGTACAGATGACCTGCAGTAAGACGCTGAGGCCAGATACTAGATTCTTTCCCATAACAAGATAAATCCTTGATAAATTGGTTTCCTTTTCTGTTCTTTAACGTAAATTCATTTTTATGATGGAACATTCAAGAAGAAAATGAACTTAGGAGCTTGGCCCTTTAGATTGCCAGAAGCTTTCTTACTCCAAAGCCACTTGTGTGGTATATCTGGCAACTGTGGATCTGATCCAAGGCAATACCCTACCTTAATTCAGGAAGGGGAGCCAGTGTCAGCCGGGAGTGGGACCAGGTGGCCATTGACATCTCTTCCAAATCCTGAGTTGAAAAAGTTAAAATGGGGGATTGTGGTTTTATGGTCTTAGGCAAGTAAGGATGGCCTGTGAGTCTAAGAATGTCGCCCCTCCCACTTTTAAGTTACTTGTAGCACGAAGTTTCCCTGCATGCTGTGCATTATGGTGGTTCCAGCAAAGCACTGCCAACCTGTCAAGAAGTGATTCTTTGCTCCCTCACGTCTTCCCCCGTGGGAGAAGCCATTTTTTAAAAAGCTTTAAATCACAGAAGCCAAGGCGAAGCAGCCCATTTATAAAATATAATGTACAAGGAAAGCTTTTTCTTATTTTCAGCTGAAATAATAGGTATCTCTTCACAGGCTAAGAAAAGCTGACTCTAATCCTCTTTTGTCTATAGTAATTTTTTGATCAGCAAGACCAGGAGCAGAAAAATGGAACAAGTCCGTGCAGACTTCCTGGTGACAGTATCAGTTCACCCTTCTGCCGTTTGACAATACATTCCAATTCCAACATTAAAAAAAATAATAAATTCAAAACCCCAGTGGATCTAATTTAGTAAAAGTCCGGGAACAAAGAATGCAGGTTATTTAAAATTTCCTGGCCCATGATTGGCAAAAGAAGATCATTAATGGACTAGTATTGTGTCTACTCCGTTTTGGAGAGGTTTGGACTTTTCTTAAGATCAAACTCTTGATCTCTCCTGCATTAAAAATACTGTAGAAAAGTTCTTAAAAATAACATCGATTTAGTGTTTCTTATTACTGTGCTGTAAAGAAGAATTACCCATCTTTTATATCATAAAATTTTGGCATATATCATTTGAGTCATTTTTCTGTAAAATGTACATGTATTTTGCTTGAAAATATTTACGTATACATACATATATAGATATATAATTTACATATATAAGTAACATTTTTAAAAGCTGAATGGGTACCCTGTAAACATCTATCAGGTAGGGAAGAAAACAGTTTACAAAACCACATCATGAACATTTTTCTGTGCTGTTGAGTGTTGTTTTTTTTTTTTTTTAAGATTTTATTTATTTATTCATGAGGGACACACAGAGAGAAAGACGCAGAGACACAGGCAGAGGAAGAAGCAGGCTCCATGCAGGATGCCCAACGTGGGACTCGATCCCAGGCCTCCAGGATCATACCCCGGGCCGAAGGCAGCACTAAACTGCTGAGCCACCCGGGCTGCCCTTAAGTGTTGTTTTAAAGCACTGTATGTGTTATTTTCCCAAGGCCGTATTACAATTTTGCATCATTTTGAGTTGGAGGTTTGGGTTATTTCAGCTCAGTCTTCTAAGTAATGACACTGAGAAAGCAGTTTACATAGGGCTTTGGTAGATGTGAAGGAGTGAGTCGTTGGGACATGGGGATGGATAGGCGCCCTTGGCAGGCTTTGGGGCACATGGGTGCTCATTCCTGCAGGTGCCCAGTGGACCAACCCCCAAAACCAAGTGTGATAAAAATGTTTGCTCCCCACACCTCATCAGCTCCTGATGGCCAGTCTCAAACAGGCAAGGTTTCTCAGAGTGCTCCCTGCCACATGTCCATGTTCTGCCCTCCCCCCTCTGCTTAGCAGGTGTGGAGTGAGTGAGTAGGAATGGAAGGAAGGACCTGACAGGAGCAGTGGGGGTCTCCAAAGGGTACGGGAGTCAGCATGAAGCCAGGACAACTAGGGTGCCGTCTGCTTGAGGCAGGCCCACAGCGGGTGAGGTGGTCAGCGCCTGGAAGTCCGGCTCTGTCCCTTTGGCGTATCCTGCCAGGGTCTACATTATGTTAGAGGGCCTGGCCTGCCGCAAGGGACCCTTTGAGGGGATGTGAATGGACCTCAGGACGCCTGTGAGCTCTTTGTCCAGAAGCGAAAGGTGTGTGTCCAGAGCTTCATCAGAGTCTACACTGGGTCTATAGCTGAGAAGGTTGAAGACACGCCCTCTTGGAGTCGCATCTCCAACAAGAGTTCTCAGGAAGTTGGTTCAGTTGGACCTGTGTCACAAGGCAGAAGGGACGGTGGCCACCACTGCCACAACAGTGACATGGCCCCACTCCCCTGTCAGTGCCCAACCCCCCCGTCCCCAGGTTATCGTCCTTCTTTCTCATCAAGCCCTAGAGGAAAGATACTGATAAGGGGCAGGAAGCTGTTTTGACCAGGCAGCTTGTCGCACCGTCTGTGGTGTCGATTGTTTGAGGTACAGCCTGGCTGTGGCCGCTTTCCTGAGTTACTAACAAGTCAGGGCCATGGATGTTATTACTGTGGGGTCACTTCTTTGTTACCTGAAGAAGCTATTATGTTGGTCACTGGCCTCACGGGGCCTGGGCACAAAAAATCTAGGAGCATCTGTAATCCATTCTGGCCAGTGGAAGGAGAGGGCCACCCCAGAGTGATGGTAAGAGTGTCTGTCATCTCTGGGGACCCAGAGTGATGGTAAATGTTATCTCATAATATGATGAAACTATATTGTGCCTCTCCTGTGCTAGCATTCTCGATTAATACTTATTTAGATGCCAACTATAAAGAAAACATGGTTTCTTCTCCTGGGAGGTCGGTGACCTTATGTGGGAGTGAGGCCAAAAAACACATGAATGGCCGTTTTGAGATGATACTAGAATAGACTAGTTGGGGTCAGTTGGAATTGATTCAGTAAGTCTTGGACCAGAGTAAGCTTGGTCATCTGGGTATGGACACAATGTGGCAGAGGAAAAGGGGGAGGCAAAAAGGAACAAGTTGTAAGCAGACAGTAGGACCAGCTTCCCAAGGGGGGGCGGTGCATTTCGGCTGATCATGTGAGCCTGTGTGGATGGGGGAACCCTGCCTGACACCTTTCCCGGGGGCTCTCATGTTCCTGGTCTCACTGGCTGTTCACAGCAGTTCCTGGGAGGTGATAGGGTACCTACCATCCCACGTGTCCGATGACAAACTATGGAATCTCTACAGTTCCCACAGCTTGGCCAAACTGAGTGGATGAGTCAGGGTCTCCCAGCTCTGAAAATGGGTGTTAGGATTTGTCAAGCTCAGAGCGGTGGTAATTATGTCAGCTTATCCCAGGGTTCACAGAGTGGGAGACTTTAAACCCCAGACTTCTCTTTCCACAGAAACAGCAGCAGAAAGAAGCTCTCCTTCTCTTCTTCAACAGAACAGCTGAAGCTAAAATCCCATCTGTCATGTAAGTGGCCACCAAGTGTCGACTTCTCTCTCCCACTCTGTCTCTCTCTCATCTTTAAAAAGAAGCACCTATTACCTTAATCCACCAGAATGGTTTCAGTGCTCTGCAAGAAATGATCAGAGACTAGAATTACAGCTGCCTTCAGTACAGAGTTCAGGGCAGCGTAGCCTCATCACTCATGGGGCATAAGCAGGCCGGTCACTGGAGCACTGCTAGCCTGAGTGTGCGGTCCTCGAGAGATCCTGTCTTAACCACGTAAGCTGGCACTGCTGCCACGTATGAGGAGGGTAGGACTGACCAGACGCTAAAGGGAACTTTTCCCCTTAGTAGGAAACCTTTGGTCACTTGCCTGTAGACACAAGGTCGGGGTTTCACAGAAGACCAGGAAGGCTGCCCTATGGGGATTCTCTGGTATTTTCCAAATACATGAAGTCTCAGCCATTATTCACCTACATAAAAAGGCAACTGTCAAAGTTTGTTCAAAAGATATGGGCAAGTGGCCATTGTCACACTTAGTTTTCCTTCCGTCTTATAAACTAAGGCTGAAGTCATAATTCCTATTCTTAAATGTATTCAGTGGCTTGAAAAATTGTCTGCCTTTCTTAAAGAAAGGAAAAACCCACTCATGTTCAAATATTCACTGTGGTAGAAACTTGAGGCAATTCTCATGACGTGCATTTGCCTGATTTTTTATTGTTTAACATTCATGTGAGACTCTGGCAGGATAATGGTCCAAGTGATTTAATTACAATGAAAATGAATTTAGCGTGGGTTGAGCGGTGCCAGCTTGGCTGTGAGGACCAAGATCTGCGGATAAATTGAGATATACACAGCCTACCCCACCCTCTCACTCAGCCTCCAGACCCCCCAGTCTCTCCGGCCTCTCCCTCTGTACCCCGAAATGAGGTAAGAGAGTGAGTTCCCCACATTCTTCCAATCTAAGATTTCCCCTACTCACCCCAGAAAGACTGCTGAATGTTGGCCAGCTCTCCTCACCCTCGGGGCACTGCCCTTTTCATTTATGAGACTGTTAGGAGACTAATGAACTCCAGATGTGGTTTTACAACCTGGAAACTTACCTCTCAGAAACTCCTCAGAATTGCCCCCACCAGCCCATTTCTCACAAGCTGCTGAGTAACAGATGGCAAGGGTGTGATCCTTTTCCCTCACTCTTCTCCGCTCATAACCTACAAAATTCAGGGTCTATGGAGTGCTGGGCCCAGAACCATCCATTTGCTTAGAAATGTTAAATCTGGCCATTCCACCACCTTATAAACAGACTTTGGTACTGCCTCGTTTTAGATAGGGTGGCTTGAACAACAGAAGTTTATTTCTTACACTTCTAGAGGCTCAGAAGTCCCAAGATCAAGGCACCAGCAAATGTAGTGTCTGGTGAGGGCCCACTTCCTGGCTTGCAGACAGCCGTCTTCTCTGTGTCCGTGTCCTCCCGGGATAGAAGGGGCGGGGCGAGGGTGCTCTTTGTGGGGGTCAGGGGGGTCCTCTGACAAGGATGTTGATTTCAATCATGAGGACTCTGCCTGTGTGACCTTATCACTTCCCAAAGTCTCATCTCATGATAACCTCACCTCGGGGGTCATTATTTCAACCATATTTGGCGGGGGAGGGGCGCCTGCATACTTTTTCAAGATTCCGTGACAAATTTATAGTGCTTTCTAATTTCCAACCAGTTTTGACATCTGCTAACTCATTTCACACTTACAGCCTCTTTGTAAGATCAGTCAAGTAAGTCAAATTGGCCTCATTTTTAAAATGCAGTAATGGGGTAAATCTCATGTATATCTCTGGGTCTCAGAGTCACACAACTAGTAAGTGGAAATTAGATTATAAATCTTGAAACCCAAATTTCCTCTGCTAATTGTTTTTCTTCCCTTTTTTGCTGCTGTTTGTTTGTTTTAATTTTAATGGGCATCTTTTGATATAAAAGCCAGTGGTATTGTGGTAGGCAGATTATTTCCAGCCTGGTAACGTAGGGACTTGGAAAGGATAGAAATAAAAAAAACCACATCTGAGATGTAGAGGGAAGAGAGGAATTAGGAAAACCAGGACCCACAGTTGTTAATGAGCTGTCCAACTTGATTTTGTGGCCTCGTGACTTTCTGATGCTGTAGCAATAAACTTTCTTGCTTATATCATGGCAAATTTTATGTCTCTCAAACTAATTAAAGTAGATTCTATTAGTACCAGCTATTCACAAGTTGAACTCAAATCCATTCCCTGGTTGGCCATAGTGGTGCTTGAAAATAATTCTTAGATGCTTAGAGGCCAGGTCACCACCTGCCTGACAGGACACCTTTGAGATTTGTCCTTCTCCAAGGAGGGCGGTGTCTCTCTGGTGCCAAGACACCCCCACGGGTGAGGGTGGCCTCAGGCAGAGTAAGTCCTTTTTGTCAAATGCAGTGACTATATCCTGGACCTACTGTTTGTGTCTAGGGAGACTCATCTTCCCGTTGCACTTGTGGGAACAGTGACCTGTCCTGGGCTTGTGAACCCTCTGCAGAACATAAATCTCCGGGAAGCCACAGAGGCTGCTGCTTGGGTGATACCCTCCACCTCCAACAGCTCCTGGGGTAGCTGCCAGCCTTCTGGGCCACGGCTAACGGTGGGGGTGGGAAGTCAAGAAAAAACAGTGATGGAGGAGAAAAGTAAATCAAGGGGAGAATAAAGAGCAAGCAAATAAGGCTCTTCACTCTATCTTCCCTTGCCTCAGAAAAAAAAAATTCCCTTACTACTGACATAACCGTGGGTCCTTGCTGTCTTAACCAGTAGCTTGCTGTCTACTGTGTGAGGGACCTGGGGAGCGTTCCCCGACTGTCCTTCAGTACTATTACTTAATGTTTCAGTAATACACTTGCAGAAATTTGATTACTGCCAGGAATCTCCTAATCCCCTGCCTAGGCATTTTCAGATCTTAGATGGAATTTCGGTTTGTATTGAAAACACATTACAGCAAAAGTGAAAACTGTTAATTATCTTCTGTGATCCCCGAGAATAAGAAAGTCTCAGTAACATATCAGAGACACATAAAACGTAACGATACTTTGATTTATTTGCTTATGGGAGAGGACTTAAAAAATGGAAGAACTCTTCTTGGAGGCGGCACCAGGTGGCTTCCCCGCAGCTCCTAATTTTGCTCCTTCTATTCAGGTGACCTAGCCTGAGGGGTAGGCCAGAGGTCAGCTTTCAGAGAAAGGGAGGGAAATGGGGGGGGGGGGGCGCTGCCTCAAAGGAGTCTTCTAAAGATGCAATGGAGTCCTTTCAGTTGGATAAGCAGATGTTTATTGTGCTGTTGTTGTCAAATGCAGTGAATATATCCTGGACCTCCTGGAAAGTGGAAGAGAGAAGTTTCTGGTGTTCGCACACCATAAGGTAGTCCTGAGTGCAATTACAAGAGAGCTTGAGAAAAAGGTAAGCTCCCTTCGAAATTCAACATAGAATGCTTCTGTAGTTTGTGTGGCGGCTGCTGAGTTGTTCTGAGCAGGTTGAGGACAGATCTGAACCAAAGAAGTGAGATGATGTTTCCAGACTTTCCGAAGAAGCTGTCTTGCTTGTAAAAGCACAGTGGAGTCCAAATACTAACTTCTTCCCTGGTCCCTATAGATAACCCCGGAGCCTCGCTTTAACAACATCTCCCGGTGGATCTTTCCTGACTCTAAGTAAATAATTACAAGATGGTCAAGAGAGGAAGTAGCAGAAATTCTCTTGTGTGGAAACAAGTATTTATATGGATATCTCCTCTCTTCCTTTGTTCTTCCTTATTACCGTCAAAGTGGCTTTAATAATCATACCTGGCAGTGTGTAGACTTCAGTATGGAGTTTTATGGCCATTATTACTATTATTATTATTATTATTTGAAAAATATCGAAAGATTTCCAAGGATGTTCATTAAAACTAAACACATCAAATTAAGAAACAAAACTTGTGAAGTTGTAACACGTCACATGGAAATGCTGCCCAATCACCACTAGCTTGTAGAATTAGAAAAGTAAAACACATATTTTCATCTCCCTTTTCATTTTTGGTTAAAGTTGGACCATAAATTGCTTTTTGACTTTCTTCATCTTTTATTACATTTTATGTAATGATTCTTTTTTTTTTTTTAAGAGAGAGAGAGAGAGAGAGCATGCATATGAGCAGTGGGGGAGGGGCAGAGGGAGAGAGAGAAATAGAATCTGAGCACGGAGCCTGAGACAGGGCTTGATCCCATTACTCTGAGGTCATGGCTCAAGCCAAAATCAAGAACTGGTCACTCCACCAACTGAGCCACCCAGGCACCCCTGTCACATTTCAAACATAGAGATGAGGACAGAGAAACATACAGCAGGCACCTTATTTTAATTTTTATATAAAATAAATTAAATATTTTGCTGTATTTATTTCAACGTGTGTATTTTAAGTAATACCATACTTAGGCCCCTTAGCAGCCCTTGAATTCATTCTCTGTCCTCACCGGATGTAACCACTGTCCCCAGTCCTTCCCTCCACGTTGTCATACTTTGCTTCAAAAGTACATATTCTTCATATATGGTCTTCTCTTAGATATATATTTTAACTTACAGAAATGGTATCCTGAAATTTACCTTTTCGCTCAATGTTATTTTTGAGATTTTTCCATGTAGTATTACGGCTTATTAGCTCATTCACCATAACTACAGAATAGTATCTCATTGGGTCACTGTGGCACAGTTTATCCATTCTCCTGGTGATGGATATGGGATTTTATTTACAGTTTTACTGTTATGTGAGTACAGATATGCATATGCATGTGTGGACATGTCCAGGCATGATCTTACATAACCATTGGATAGTCCCATTTTCAACTCTACCAGGTATTGCCATATTTCTCCCCACGCTGGCAATTCAAATCTATAATCCCACCAGCAGCATTTGGGAATTTCTGCTCTTCTGCATGCTCATTAACACTTAGTATTATCAGACTTTAAACTTTTGCCAATATAGTGAAATGAAAGCTCTGCTCTTTCTTATTTTAATTTGCATTTCCCTGACTGCCACTAACAGTTGTATCCTTTAATATATTTATGGGTGATTTATGGCTCTCTTCTGTAAATATTTTGCCTGTTTCTCTGTTAGATGGCTTGTTTTTTTCTTACTACTTTGGAAATACTCTTTTTAAATTCTGGATATTAGCTAACCTTTTTTCATTTTGTTGAAGTTTTAGTGAACATAATGTTTAATTTTTACTTGTTACAACTGAAACACATTTCCAGCTTATTAGTTTTTCCTATGTGGTTTTTAATTTTTATGAATGATTTAAGAAATCTGTCCCTCCTCAAGGTCATAAAGATTTTCTCCTATAATTTTTTGTCCTGAAAATTTTAGAGGTGGTTCATTAATCCGCCTGGGTTTGAATTTTGTATATGATGTCATGCAGGATGCCAGCCAATGGAATTAAAAGCTATAATTATTGAAAAGGAAAAATCAGAGCTGTCACTATATTCAAGAGAATATAAAAAGAGTTATTAATAGTAAAGAGAGCTATCCATTCTATTCCACCCATCTGACTACCAGTTTATGGACCTGCATGGCTGAGTTTTATAATAGATTTTAATATCTGGAGGTACAAGTCTATCAACTTTGTTCTTTTTTCAAGTTGCCTTAGATATCTCTCCTGATTATTTTTTGAAACTCCTGTAGCATAATAATATGAAGTTCCCTTAAAATACCCAATTGGGAGTTTTATTTGAACTGAGCTAAACCTACAAATTCATTTGGGAAGGATCACAATTTTTACAGTTTTTGCACTGGAGCATGGCCCAAGTCTCTCCAGTTCTTCATTGGTTTCTACGCTCTTCTTCGTGACATTACTATTAGGTACTTTCTATGTTGCTTTGAACTTGATCTTTTTCCCATTGTGTATTTACTAATTATTTATAGCTGGTACATAAAAATAGCAACTTATTTTAGTATACTTATATGGAATTTAAGCACCCTACTGTACTCTAATGCTTTGATAGTTCTCCAATTAATTGCCTCGGATCTCTTGAATATAGCAGGGAGCCTGCTTCTGCCTCTGCCTATATCTCTGCCTCTCTCTCTCTGTGTCTCACATGAATAAATAAGTAAAATCTTTGAAAAAAAAAAAAAAGAATCGAGACCTCAAAGGTGTGCCCGGGTGGCACAATCGGTAAGCATCTGACTCTTGGTCTCAGCTCTGGTTGTGATCTCAGGGTCGTGAGTTTGAGCTCATAGTGAATATGGCTGTTGGCCCCAGGGGTTTCCTTGTGCCTTTGTAATCCCTCCTGCTTCTCGCTGCCCACCCATCTCCAGGCCACCACAGACCTGTTCTCTGTCACTCTAAATTAATTTCCATTTTTAGAACTTTATATAAATGAGGAATGATTCAGTGTGTACTCTTTTTTTTTTAATTTGGTTTCTCTCAATATATTTTGAGATTCATATATGTTATTGAAGTATCATCAGTACATTCCTTCCTACTGCTGAGTAAGTACTCTGTTGTATGCATATACCATGGTTTTTATCCTTTCACCCATTGGTAGATATTCGCCAGCCCATCCTTTTTCAGTGAAGATGAAGACTCCCTCAGGGGTGCCTGGGTAGCTCAGTTGGTGAAGTGTCTGACTCTTGGTTTCGGCTCAGGTCATGATCTTAGTGTGGTGAGATCCAGCCCTGTGTTGGTCTCTGCTCTCAGCAAGGAGTCTCCTTGCAGATTCTGTTTCCCTTTCCTTCTGCCCCTCTCCCCCCTCATATTCTCTCTCTCTGGCAAATAAATAAGTAAATCTTTAAAAAACCAAAAAGAATCTCCCAAATATGAAGAAATACTTGAATGGATAAATTATACTATTGCCACATAATGAAATATTATTTGGACATTAAAAATGATGTTTTAGGAAACTTTAATAGTTTAGTTTATTTACAACATAATGTTTATTGGAGAAAAGCAGGATATAAAACTTTGTGTTTAAAAATTCTCATAAACGGGTCACCTGGGTGGCTCAGTGGTTGAGCATTTACCTTTGGCCCAGGTCGTGATCCCGGGGTCCTGGGATCGAGTCCCACATCAGGCTCCCTGCAGGGAACCTGCTTCTCCCTCTTCCTGTGTCTCTGCCTTGCTCTCTGTCTCTCATGAATAAATAAATAAAATCTTTTTAAAAATAAATAAATAAAAATAAATAAATAAAAATTCAAAAAATAAAAATAAATAAATAAAAGGTTATTGTGCACATCGAGAAGAGAGCGCCTGGCAAAAATAGATTGGTAATAGTCCCCATATTTGTATTTCCTTTATAATGCTTGTCTTTATCATTAGGGAAAAAAAAATAGATAATTGCCCCTTAAAAGAAAATAAAAATCAGACATGTAAGGAAGATGTAGCCCAGCAGTCAGCTCCTTGGCATTCATCTCAGAGGCATGAAAACTTGTGTTTACATGGAAACTTGTATACAAATGTTCATGGCAGGTTGATTTGTTGTAGCCCCAACTGGGGCCGACCCACGTGTCCTTCCAGAGGTGAAAGGCCACGCTGTGGTACATCCACACCACAGAATACTACTCAGGAGTAAGAAAGGAATGAGCTACCACCACTTGCAGTGCCCTGGTTAGATCTCCAGGGAATGATGCTGAGTGAAAAAAAGCCCATCCCAAAAGGTCGCCCACTCTATGACTCCATTGATACAACATTCTTTTGTTGTTGTTGTTGTTGTTTTGATACAACATTCTTTTGTTGTTGTTGTTGTTGTTGTTTTGATAGAACATTCTTAAAGTGAAAAGGACCTGGGAGTGGGGCAGGAAGCAGAGGGAGGTGGGAGTGGCTATAAGGATCCTTGTGGTGTTAGAACTGTTCAGTGTCTCTTTTTTTTCTGTTTCTTTTAAGTAAGCCCTATGCCAAACATGGGTCTTGAACTCGCAACCCCAAGATCAGGTCACTTGTTGTACTGACCAAGCCTGCCAGGCTCCTGTAGCTGTTCAGTGTCTTGAGTGTGAAGGAGATAACGTGGAAACCCACAGTGATAACACTGTGTAGAACACACACATGTGAATTTAAGTAAAACTGAGGACATGGGCATGAGATCAGTACATTGTATCAAAGTCAGCATCCTGGTTGTGATTTACTATAGTTTAACAAAATATTACCACTGGGAGAAAGTGGGCCAGATGTTCAAGGAATCTCTGTATTTTTGCTTCAACTAATGTGCATCTACAATCCCATCAACACAAACCTCAATGTGACACAAAAGGACAAGAAGCTGTGAAAGCAGTGACAGACCCGTGATCTGAGTTAGAACAGCAACGTGGCTCTGTCTTTGGAGCCGCGGCTGCCGTGCCCCGGGCACTGGTGCAGCCCACCTCGCTTCCCATCCTTGTCCCTGCAGCACGTGCCACACATCCACATCGACGGCTCCACCTCCTCGGCGGACCGAGAGGACCTGTGCCAGCAGTTCCAGCTGTTCGAGAAGCATGCTGTGGCCGTGCTGTCCATCACCGCTGCCAACATGGGCCTCACCTTCACCTCGGCTGACCTGGTGGTGTTTGCTGAGCTCTTTTGGAATCCAGGGGTAAGGGACACATGGGGCTCGAATCCCCCAGGGGTGCGTGTGGCTGTGGGGCAGAAGGAGCGAGAGTGTCAGTCTGGGCAGAGTAGGTCTCTGGGCCCTCTCCTTAGCACCAGTTTTGTCTTCTTCCATCCGTTTCTGTTAGGCCTCAGAAACATGTTTTATACTTCCCAATTACCAGTCTTTTTTTTTTTTTTCCCCAGTTACCAGTCTTAAAAGAAGTGAAGCCTTGCATATCTGTTGGCTAGTTATTAGATCTTCACAGCAGTCTCCTAAGTAGTAGGAGTATCGACTCCATGTTATGGAAGGGAATATTGAAGTTTTAGAAGGCTGGAAGGAATCTTAGGAGTCCTCCCTCTGAGGGGAAATTGGGGCACAGAGAGCTCACATGCACAGCTATCCCCAAAGGGGAGCCTGCGGCTACAGCAACCCCAGCCCAGGCCTCTGGGCTTCCAGCCTGTGCCTTCTATTAGCCATCATTGCAAGCTGCGTAGCCGATGCAGCCATGACAGGCGACCTTTCTGGGTGTTCCCTGAACGTGGTCTTTGTGTCCACTGGCCTCATCTGATGAGCAGAGAGCTGTGATAGCAGATATATGTCACTGGCCACACATAGGGCACGTAGACTTCTAGGCTGAAAGCATATGGGATGGAAACAATGCTCTTGGGCTTTGTTATCTATAGTAGGGCTTACCGCCATATTAAAGAGCCACACTACCCCTAATCATATAGGGCCTCTCCCTTGGTTGTGATATGTTTGTTTATTTACAAGGTAATGGTTTCTTACATGGCAAGAAGAATGGAAATGTGCCAGGCTTCCTTCATTTGCCCTTCAGCATAGCCTGCTGGCAGGTCGAGCTTGCTGTTCGTTCCTTGCGGCATCTAGGGCTCTGCCCACAGCTGTCTGGCTATAGATTCTAGATAACCCCAGAACTTTAGTTTTGTTTGATTCTCTCTTATGTTAGGTGACAGCTTCCTTGAAGGTAGAGGTTCTCAGCTTGCTGACTTGGGTCATGGAGTGAAGTCCTTTCAGAAGAAGGGTGTGGTGGGCTCGGGGGCAGGGGACTGCCTGCTGTGGTGGACTGAGCCCCTTTGGGCCTTGGCCTGCACACATCCTGATCCCTGTACCTCACAGGTGCTGCTTCAGGCTGAGGACCGGGTGCACCGAATCGGACAGTCGAGCTCTGTGAGCATCCACTACCTTGTGGCGAAAGGCACAGCTGATGACTACCTATGGTATGGCTGGCCACTGGGGTTAAGCAAGGGTTGACGCCTGTGATGTATTTCCTTCACTCCCTAACTGCTTCTGCTCTTGCTGATGTCTTCAGGGACCCATGCAGAAGACCCAGGAGTAATGCCCTCCCACTTCCACCATGACCATGTCGGGCCTCCTTCACAGCATTCACTCATGACTTGCTGGGTGCATGAGGGATAAGGGGATGTGGCTCCTTTCCCAGTGTCCTGAGACAAGGGAGGGGGAAAGAAGTATATGTGCAGGTTTGCTTGTAAGACACTCCGTCCCAGCTATGAAGACTCTGCTGAGACATGGTCATACTGCCCTCTGCTCCTTCATGGCACGTATCGGTAAAATAAGGCCATCATACAGTGCTACAGCTGACCACTGGGAGGAAGTGGCTCACCCTGGACCACATGGGGCTTCCTTAGAACTAGGGTAAAATTTTTCAACCCTGGGGTTCATGTCTCTTACCTAAGCAAAAAGTCTCCAAATGCTCCTTCCTAGTCATACTTACCCCTTTCCTAATACTAAGTTTCTTGATTACCTCATTAGTTTCTACTACTCATTTCTGTTTCCAGCCTTGTGACTAAGGGATCTTACCTTTGTCACATGTGTAGGTTGTCCCTACTCCTACATCTTTGGATTTGTTGATTTGATCATTGGGCAGCTCATAACCACGAGGCCATTTTCAGCGCCAGGTTCAGAATTTTGTTGTAATGAGACATCTGTTTCCTCCACATCTTCCAGTAGAAAGAATTTTGAACCTAATGATGCAAACACTAAATTGGTTTACAGAAGAGATAAATATTTTAGGTTGGGTGTTTGTACCTTGAGCGCTCCAAAGAAGTGAAACAGCATGCCTCAGTCCCATAAAAACTAGGAGGGTGATCTCTTTTTAATCCCGCTGGTTCTGTGCAGCTTGTATTCACCGCAGCTCTTTTCTCCCCAACAGGCCCCTAATTCAAGAGAAGATTAAAGTTCTGGGTGAAGCCGGACTTTCTGAGACCAATTTTTCAGAAATGACAGCAGCTACTAATTACTTCTACAAGGTAACACCAGCAAATGGCTCCTTGCCACTGGAGTGGGGGGAGCTGTTGAGTTGTCTCCTCAGCCCTTGGGTCCTGAAAGAGAAGTGGATCACTCCTGGGGATTTCACTCAGCCTCATGCAGAATGGTGGCCTTCAGGTAGCTCCTCTGAAAACCAAGTGTCTTCTCCTTCTCATGGAACTGCCCAAAATCAGAGTCTGAGTAAAGTCAGCAATATCTTTGAGTGACAGGAAGACTAGAGAGTCTGAGGATTTGATCTTTCATTTACATTGATGTAGTAACGAAATGCTTCCTTTCAAATGTAATGATCGAGATAAGTCTTAGAGATCATATTTTTATTTTTTTAATTCATATTTTAAGTAACCTCTACACCCAGCATGGGGCTTAAACTCATGACCCCCAGATCAAGAGTTGGCATGCTCCTCTGGCTGAGCCAGAAACCCCAAATATCATATTTTTAAATGTAGAGTATAAATTATCCTCATAAACAGTTAATAAGCTAAGTTGAAACAACCTTATTTTTAAGCTTTTTAAAGAACTCTAATTCAATTGAATGGCAAATATTTTCACAGAGACTTTGTTATTATATGCCCTTTGAAAAGAAGGAGACTTAATTTTAAGGGATTCTTAACCTTCTCAAACTCAATAATGAGTCTATTTAGAACTAACTCATTTATTCCTACTGCCTTTACCTTCACTTACTCTTAGTTAAGAATTTCTGCCTAAAGTACAAGATAATATGAATGCAGTTTATCAATATTTATTTTGATTAATAATTATATCTATTTTTTTATTAAAATAGAGCTGAAAATTTCATCAACTATTAGAAAAAGAAAATGCTGCCTCCTAACAGGAGATTAAAGCAAGAGGTTATTCTCGCTAAGACAGCATGCCTTCCCAGAGGGGAAGTGAAATCCTAATCAGATCTTGGACCTTGCTTCCATTAATCAAGCATGCTCCAAGTTAGCGCACAGTATTGCCACCACCATACTCAAATGCAGGTTAACAGTTGTTTTACTTAGAACAGGCTGCCTTGTGGGGAGGCATTTCCTTAACCCTGCAGTTGTTCAGATAGAGGCTGATGAGATTTCTAGAGGAAGATGTGAAGATCATGTGAGGTTGACCTTAATGACCTTTAATGTCACTCCTTGTCTGGTCAGGAAGGCTGGCATCCTGAAAGGCAAGGGAATGTAAGTAAGGTGCAGGTTCATTGGGTAATCGAGCTCTCAAAAGACTGCTCCCCAGGCCAGGTTTCAAGGGCCTCATGTCACCAATGCGCGGAGGCTTCTGTTAGGAGCAGTGAGGAAACAGAGACCAGCTGGGTTGAGACCCGATGATGAAGGAGCTGAAGAGCCAGGGAGGAGCTCTGATGAGGTAGATACGGGGGACTGTAAGATGTGACAAGAAAATCCTGTTAAAGGACAGCCAGGGGGCAGAAATCATCGAGGCAGAGAGCTGCCAGGGACGGAAACAGAAAGAGGCCCGCAGTGGGAAGCACAGGAGAGCCGTTGCAAATCCATGCAGGTACCGGGTGCTGTGACCCAGGTAATAAAGACTGTGCCTGTGGAACATCGCGGAGGGAACAGACGGGCGAGGCCGACTTGCTGTGAGGTTGATGTGTGGAGATAGGCAGTCAGGATGCCCTGGGGATGGCAAGCCAGGGAGACGAGGAGAAGAATGTTTGGTAGACCATCAAAACTAGGCTTTTGGAAAAGAGTTACTGGCTTGAGGATGTAGGATTGAGAGGAAAGATGGTTTGGGTTTCTAAACAGCTTTAGTTTAGTGGAACCAAGATGGCCATGGAGATGTTTGAAAACGCACCAGGAATGAAAGATGGTCAGGTTGGGAATACACATTTGGGACAGATCAGCTAAGGGGTGATAAGCGAGCCTATGACGAGCTGTAGTTGGAACTGCTGGGCCTGATTTTCACAGTGCACCGTGGCCTCAGAGCACAGAGGCAGCTCATGGGCCTTTGGATCATTGGCAGATTTCAGGTAGCCCGAAACAGGCAGGGGACTCTACTCAGTGTGTCAAGTATGTGCATGTTTTCTTAACTACCCCGAAAATTAGGTGCAAGCGGTGGTGGAGCATGTGGGTTGGCAGTTGAACTGCAACCTAAACCCTCAGTACAGAAGGGCTTTGCAGGAAGTGGGGGCTTGGGAGCTGGTTCAGTACCGATTTGGAAAGCTAGAAGGAAGAAGCCATTTCCAACATAAGTTTTCCTTCACCCCATGAGCAGCAGAGAAGAAACGACGCCAGGCGGTAAGGCCGCGTGGGCTGCACGCGCGGTCGTGGGCACCCAGTGATGTGCAGTGTGCAGCCCCCACGTTGCAAACCAATGTGCAGCAGTCTGTGTCCTCCCGCAACCCCAGCCTCGGGCAGAGCAAGAGTCGGTGCTGGAGCCTGCGCTTCAGCTTTCACCTTTTGTTTCCCCTCCCTGATGAAGGACCCAAAGCAGCAGAAGATCTATGACCTCTTCCAGCAGTCCTTCGAGGAAGACGGAAGCGACCTGGAGCTCCTGGAGGCCGCAGAATCCTCTGACCCCAGAAGTGCTCCGGGTGTACCTGGAAATGATTCCCAGGACCTAGAAGACACGCCGGACGAGACCATGGTGACTGGCAGCCCCGTGAAGAAAAGGAGATTTGAGTTTTTTGATAACTTTGACAGCTTTACCTTTCCCCTGTAAGAGGGGGAGGAAAAAGGCATTTAAAAATCATGGAACTCGTTAACATAAGGTGTTCGTTTCTACTTGCACCATCCTCGACGTTGCAGCAGTGCTGGCGTCTGTTACCAGGCTGGGGGTCGGTGTTACCTCTCTGGCCTTTCTGCGCGGGTGTGCGGGGTCTTAACCTCGCCTTCTCTGGCTGAGGACTAGAGACAGCAGGCTGCAGTAGTGACAGTTGGGGCGCTTTAAGTACCAGATGCTTCCCACGCAGCCTCTGAAATCCGGATTTTTAAATTTGTGGGTTCAACAAATATTTATAGAGCACCTGATACGTGCCAGGCAGCGTTCTAGGTGCCGGCAGCCATTCATCAAACAAAAGAGAGAAGAAAGCTCGTACCTCTGCAGAAGTTCTATCTGTAGGAGAAGTCATAGTTACACATCCTAAGAAGAAGAGAGCAGTTACGGAGGTAAGGGTTTGGAGCGGGAGGGGGCAAGCTTTTTCTGTAAATAGGCAGGCAGTCGTATCTGACTTTACGGGCCAGGTTGTCTGTGTAGGAATGACTCGACTCTGTTGCTGTAGGGCAGAAACAACCGTAGGTAATCCAGAAACAAATGATTATGGCTCTTTTCCCATAAAACTCTGTTACAGACACTAAAATTCAAATTCATACAATTTTCATGTGTCACAAAACCTTATTTTTTTGATTCATTTTGAGTCACTAAAACATGTAAAAACTGCTTAGTCCACTGGCCGTCCGGAAGCAGGCAGTGGGCAGGATTTGGCCTGAGAAGCATGACTGGCTAACTCCTAGTTTAGAGCAGCACCACCCAGTAGAAATCTGACACAAGCCACGGACATGATTTTAATTTTCTAAAAGAGTGTTAAAAAATGAAGGATGGAAACTAGTAATATTTTCTTTAACTCAGTTTCTTCAAAATACTCAGTTCAGCATACAATCACTATTAAAAACTTCCTGAGAAACTTGCTATTATGTTCTCCCTTTTTTTCCTTCCCTGCTAAGTCTTTAAAACCCAGTGTGTATTGATGCTGACAGCACACCTCAAGTGCTTGTTTCAGGTGCACTTGTGGCTGGTGGCTCCTGTGTTGGGCAGCACGGGTCTAAAGAATGGTGAGGGGTGAGGGGCATCATTAGAGGTGATGTCACTGAAGAGACCGACAGAGGCCAGATGATGTGGACCCCTGAGGTCATGTAAGGAATGATTTAATTTTGAATATGAAGCTGCTGACTGGTTTTGACAGGGATATGAGGGATATAACAGGGATATGAGGCAACCTGATTATATTTTTAAAAGATCCCTCCAGGGGCACCTGGGTGGCTCAGGCGGTTAAGCGTCTGACTCTCGATTTTGGCTCAGGTCGTGACCTCAAGGTCCTGAGATCAAGCCTGTCATTGGGCCCCACACTGGCGTGGAGTCCGCTTGAGATTCTCCTTCTCCTTTAGCCCCTCCTGCCGTCGTTCATGCTCTCTCTTTTTAAAAAAAAAAAACTTTAAAAAATGAATTTAAAAATCCAAGACCACTCCCATTCGTGTGTAGAAAATAGATCAGGAGGGGTGGTCGGGGGAATAGTTTGAGAGGAGGCTGGTGAGCCATTGCAGCTGACCATGGGGTGATGCTGGGGTGTGGCCCAGCGGAGCAGCAGTGTGAAGGAGGTGAGAAGCACTTGGATTGGGTACGTGATGATTGTAGAGCTGAGTGAGTTTGAGATGGATTGACCAAGACGCATTTGAGAAGAGGACAGAGGAGTCAATACTTAGACCTAGGATTTGAACTGAGCAAAGCTGTAGTGCCATTGACTGAGATACTAAAAAAAAATAATAATAAAAATGAAAAGATGGGGAAGGGTAGATGGGTTGGGCATCAGGCCAAAATCAAGGGTTTGGTTATGGACTCGTTGGGTTGGAGATGGAGGCAACCTGCCCAGCTCCCCCGTCAAGGACTTAAGCTTCCTGCCCAGCTTCAGGACGCAAATAGCTTCTACTTGGTCACATCTTCCAGTTGGTCTCAGTCCACAGGCTGTAGGATTTGGGTCTCCAGCAGGAGAAGGTCACACCGAGAGCTGCGAATTTTGCCCTCACCTGTTATAAACGGTGTTTATAGTCATGGGGCTGGAGGAGCTTGAGCAGATAAGGTGGTTTGGGGTGGGGAAGAAAGCTGAACGAACTGACCCCAGAGCACTCTACCATTTAGGATTGGGAAGAGAAAAAAGGAGACCAAACAGCAAAGGAAGAGAGGAAGAAAACCAAAATGGGTGTCCAGGAGGGGGATTTTTTAAAAAAAACTGTTTCAAAAAGGAAGGTGGTGCTGCTTTCTTGGTATTGTCAATAGACCATGGGCCGGGTTTAAGCAAAGGTTTAGAGGTAGCCCAATTTTCCTGGCAGCAGTGCAGCATGTCTGCGTTCCAGCACGACTGTGTGTGCATTTGTTTGTTAGACTTGGATGGTTTTCACTCTTGTGCTGTTGACTAGGTGCCAGGCACCGGGCCAAACACTGTACATGTACTGATGCAGTGAGCCCCATCTCGGAGGAAGGTAGGCAGGTTTTCATTGTGCAGATGTAGACCCCGAGCCAAGGGAGTCTGAGCTAGGAAGTGGACCTACTGCAGGACTACAGCCAGGCCACCGCTCCAGAGCCCACTCTAGGGTAGGTACACACTTCTACACCACGAGGCTCCGTGGTGCTTTGGCGGGTCTGTGAGCAGTTTATTGCATGCCCGCCTTCCTCAGGGGCTCGGCCCTGACTGTCACCCTGAGCTGGCTTCCCTGCAGGCTCCCAGCTAACTGTTCAAACCAGAACGAGACTCTGGAACGCATTTGCTTGTGCCTTTCGGTCTCCTCTCTTGGACTTCTGGATAGCTCCAACTGAGAGAGGAATCTCTGAGAGCCACCTGGCCCCCTTCACTGCTCAGGAGCCGTCGGGCATCCTGACATCTTTGTATGATCTGGACCCAGGGGCCGTGTCCTGTATGAGGCCTCGGCCTTGGGACATAACCGGCTGACTCTCTGCCTTTCTCAGTCAAACCTGGCATTTGGTTACTGAGCTTCCTATTAATCACTGTATCGATCTGCTGTGAGCTTCTCTGCAGGGTCGGAGCTCCTCAGGAAATCCAGCCTGAACACCCACATCTAAAGGGCAAGAGTTGCTTCTCCTGGCTTTCTGGAAAGGATTGTGGAGATGAGCAGCTGAGCCTGCATTCCGCCAGTGTGCCCTGCCGTGAGGAGCTCTGCTGTGGTGCCACATCTCCATAACTAGGCCTTTGCTTTCCTCTATTACCTCCTGAAACAAGAACAAGTGATACCTAGAGAAAATCCAGAGTCAAAGGCCTGAGAGAGAGTGCTCACCTGGGCCCTCCTCTAGGTCACCTGAAGTCATCTTACACTGTCTTATTACCTTCAGCTCTCTGTTTTATTTTTAAATTTTGTTAGCTGCACCGGTTTGTTTATAATAGTGACTATGACTTGTCAGAAGCTTCCAGAGGACAAGTAGTTGGGTCCTTCTAAAGTTTACTCTAACTTTGTCCCAAACAGCCACTTAAATATTTGTCTAAGAGTAATTAAGAGCAATGGCTGCTGTGTCATCAAGTAAGTTGTACCAAGTCCCCTCAGGAGTGGGTGCTCTGGAAAGCCAACTACATCACTTGATGGTTGCTGCCCTTGGAGTTCCAAAATCAATCTGCCCTTGGAGTTCCAAAATGCTGACACAGCAATCAGCATAGATCCGGAAAAGGACACAGTCGATTGTGCACTGGGTGGCCTACTGGGAGGGGGCCCAACGGGGACAGAATCGGGGACAGAATCTGTAGGAAAAGAAATGCTAAAATCCTACCTCAACGTTACTCATGAGGTTTTTGTAATGATTTTTTGCAATCTTGGTGGCTCGTTCATGGAAACAATACAATCACTTCATTAGGGGAAAATCTGTGGAATGAGTTAAGGCCCAGGAAGCAGAAAGGTTTTGGATCACCCTTAGATGCTGAGAGAGGTATAGAAAGGAGCATCTCTTCCTCGCCTGCCCCAGAGCCTATGCACAGCCTCTGCTCCCATTGCTCATATCACGTGGCTTGAGAAGCATTAGGAAGCCCTCTTCTGTGAGTCTGTGGACTTCTCCAGAGACTGCCACCTGCCTGTTGCTCATGCAAAGGAGATTGGGTACAGCTTTCTCATGGGCTCCGCTGGACTTTGGTCAAGTTCTTTAGAGTCTCAGAGAATGAGATCGTAGCATCTCATTCCTTAACTTCTCTTCATAGTTCCTCCTTACCCTAGGGATAATAAAGGAAAATGTGCAAGTGATTTTGAGACATATATCCAGGGTTGCTTAGGAGACTCACGGACCATTGTTAAGTTAATAAATCTCTGCTTTATTTACTGCGTGGCCTGCCACACAGAGTGGCCCTTTCAGCAAGGTGTCAGATCCATGTCTGCCATTGGGAGACTTTGCCCTTGGTCCTTGCGACTTGGTGTGCACATTTGATACCACAATTCCTCTGTAGTCTTAGTAAATATGGCCTGTTGAACCTCCGTCTGAAGCCTCTGCTTAAACCTCACTTTCAGCTGCTTTGGAGAAATACTCGCTCTCTCTGAGATGTCCTTGAGGGCCTCCAAAGCAAATTTTATTTATACCACGAAGCCTGTATATGCCAGGTTATACCATCCCAAATATACCTCTAGAATTTGTTGAGAACCACCCAACCATTTCTGTGTGATTCTGAGAAGACCCTGGGACTTACTTATCAAGAGTGAATGCCTTTGGGCTTAAGGAAGGATTTCTGCACTAACTCCTTTTCCTTCTTTTCTTCATATCTCAGTCCAGACACACACCTGCCACCATCCAGTGTATTTTCTGGGAATCTGGGCCTATCTCATCCCACTTCGGTCCCCGCCGTCACCAGGGTCATCGTTCCCTGAATGACCCTGGTTAATTCCTGCCTCTAGGGCTGGCACCAGGAAGACTCCTAGAGGGAACAGTGATCCTGTTAGCCTTGATCCATTTGTACTTGAATTAATCATGTCTTTTCCTTCTTGGCTTCCCACAAGCCTTTTTCTAGGTCAGAGGGAGAGCTAAGAAACAGAGCTGGCGGTGCCGTCTCCTCACTGCTGGCTCTTAGGTTTTGCCTCGTCTGTGCATTCTTGCCTATTGGAACCCTGATGCTTGCTTGCTCTCTTTCTCTCTCTCTCTCTTTCTTCCTAAGACTGTATTTACTTAGAGAGCACGAGCAAGTGGAGGGGCAGAGGGAGAAGCAGACTCCCCACTGAGCCAGGACCCTGGATCACGACCTGAGCCACCCAGATGCCCCAGAACTTTGATGCTCTCTAAAGCTTTTTTTAGGTGAAATTTAAACTGCAAAAGGGATGAAAAGAAGTCGCACCTTATTTCCTGCTTTATCCTCTCACTTCTTACTGTGTGGAGGATTACAAGGTTAAAAAAAAAAATGGCATGGAAGCTTAAAGAGAATTTGTTGGAGCCTCTCTCATACCTGTGTATTTTGGTTTTGTGTTTTCCTGTGAGGTCCCAGGAAAGGAAGTGGACTCCTAATCGTAGCAGAAAACATTGAGAAGCCTGTGACTCACAGTGCTTGGGATATTATGACAGCCAACAGTTACTAGATTTTGTAACACCCTCTGCCCACATCCCCCCCACCAACCCATTAATCTGATTTATGGAGTGCCAGGCACTTTTCTTCTTTGTTTTTAACCCTCCCTTTTAGTGTGAAATATCAGACATAAGAGAGTTCATAAAACACAATTACAGCTTAACAAATATTACAAAATAAACACTCATGTAACCATAACTCCAAGATTGCGAATATGTTCTAGAAGCTTTATTGGTTTGCTTTTAATGTTTAGATTTACAACCCAATTGCAGTTTATTTTTGTACATGGAGTGAGATAAGGTCAAGGCGAATTTTTTTTTCCAAATGAATATGTAATTTCTCAGCATCACTTACTGAAAAGATTGTCGCTTCATCCAGTGCTCTGAAGTGCCTTCTTTTCACTATTAAAATTTGATGTAAAAATTAACTATTCAGAGTGCCTGGGTGGCTCCGTTGGTTAAGCAGTTAAGCATCTGATGACTCTTGATTTTATCTCAGGGTCTTGGGTTGGCAACCCACATCAGTCTCTGTGCTCAGGGCAGAGTGCCTTGACCCTCTCCTTCTGCCCCTCCTCCCGCTCATGCTCATGCACTCTCTCATTCTCTCTCAAATAAATAAATAAATAAAATGTTTAAAGATAATAAAAATAAAAAATAAAGATGTATAAGTAAAAAAAATAAAAGCCCTACATTCTCCTCTTTCCTATTCCTAGCCCTACTTCCTACAGGTAATAACTAATATAAACAATTTGGGAGGGAGCCTTTGGTATTTTATTCCCAATGCATATAAATTTACATTGAATTGTTCTTACAAAAATTGTATCAAACTCTTTATATTAAAAATGATTCATTTTACATAATATATTTGGTCATTGTTTCATACTGATCGACCCTATCTATTTTAAGAGTTACTTAGCAGCTCCCATCCTGATGGATGCATTACCGTGTCAGTGCCCAGCGAAATGTTCATTAAAACAAAAAGCAAACAACTAGAAAGATGAATTTAAAGTAAATTTGTGGAGAGAAGAGAAGAAGGAATGAATCCACACATTGAATCTTTTTTTGGACACCTGATTTTTCGTAGGTGTTTATGACCTGGCCTTGGCAGGGTTCACCTTCCCCTTGCTGGGTCCACTGCCTTTTGTGGAGGTTGGCCCACAGGGCTCTTAAAATTGTGTGCAACTTTACTCTTGTCTGGCCACCCGGCACTTCAGTGTAGGGCAAGCAAGAACTCTTTGGGCACAAAGTGAAAGAACAGCAATGAAGCCTGGGACTCCAGGATAAGCCCTTTTGGTCTCCAGCATGAGATAAATTGGGGATGATGCTTGCACCTCAGATTTCTTTCAAGAATCAAGTGTTCCATATGCCCCAAAGACAACTGGTTGGCCCAACAGCTAAAAGAACTCTCCTCTAGATGCAACTTTCAACTTCTTTTTCTGAGGGCGAAAGTGAGTTTTGATTGCTCCTGATGAGCAGGGGTGACTCAGAGATTTTTGCTGAGACTTTTTTTTTTTTAATTTTTATTTATTTATGATAGTCACATAGAATGAGAGAGAGAGGCAGAGACACAGGCAGAGGGAGAAACAGGCTCCATGCACCGGGAGCCCGACGTGGGATTCGACCCCAGGTCTCCAGGATCGCGCCCTGGGCCAAAGGCAGGCGCCAAACCGCTGCACCACCCAGGGATCCCTGCTGAGACTTTTATGGGTATGTATTACAGTTAATCTCTACACCTGATGGTCCTCTAATGGGGATGGAGACTTACTAGCCCACAGATAAGACAAACTGAAACTTTGTAAAGCACAGTTCTCTGAAGCCACTCAGAGCTGATTTCATGAGAGTGCTATTTGTACATCCTCAAGCTTGCCATTTAAAGAGAATTGTCCAGTCTTTACAAAATTGCTCTGGGCATGAACAATTTCTTCCTATTATGGAGTGTCTCATTTTCAGCCACTCTACTGCGTTTCTTACTCCTGCTTTCTACCTTGCTCTCTCTCAGACTCCCTGAAGGGCAGAGACGTAGGCGGCTACGCAGGGGATGGGGTGGGAGGCGGTAAATTTGCTAAATGATCTGAACTAGGCTCTCTAGCCAGCCCAGAAGCACTCACTTCAGTGAGTGCAACGCTGGCCGTGTTTGTACAGTCACCCAGGGCAAGTGAACCTCACTCCTGCTCAGCCTGCAGGCACAGACCGGAACAGGAGGACCACGGGAGTGCTCGTTTCTGAACTCTTCTTCCACCAATCCCATTTGTTTGCACCAATAGGAATGTGTTTCGCTTTAATTTATAGTTTTCTAGAAGCAGGGCATAGTCTGGTGGAAAGGTGTCCAGAAATCATCCCCAAAATGCGGTGCACTTCTCTCCTGAGGGAGGACAGACTTGCTCCCTCAGCCCTTTAGGGTGAACCATTCTTCACCCTAAAGGGGCAGAGGGTACATGGAGGTTGTGGCGGAACTGGAAGATTTTGAGCACATCCTATTCCCCCAGTGGGGAGATGTGTTTGCACAGTTGCAGTGGTGTGTGAAACAAGGTACTTACCGCTGTGTTTCTAGGAGTCCTTCTTGTTGCAGTTTTTAATGAGAGGTTAATTTTTTTCAATATATAAAAGCAAGACGGTAATGCCAAGGAGTACGATATATAATTTAATCGCTGAAAATGTGTATTTATTTTTAAGATTTTACTCATTTATTCATGAGAGACACAGAGAGGCAGAGACCCAGGCAGAGGGAGAAGCAGGCTCCATGCAGGGAGCCCGACGTGGGGCTCGATCCCGGGACCCTGGGGTCACACCCTGAGCCGAAGGCAGATGCTCAACCGCTGAGCCACGCAGGCATCCCAAAATGAGTATATTTTTAAAATTTAGTTAGTACGTAAAAGCAATCTCCCCAAGTCAGTTTATAAAGCATTTCTTGAAGCTAAGATGTAGTTGTTATGCCTTAAAAGATGTGCTTTTGTAGATCTTATTACTTTTTCTACTTTTGTCTATATTTGAGAATTTCAAAATGTTCTGTGGGGGGTCAATATCCATAGCTTCATCGATGGACATTTTTCACTTAGGTATTTAGGTGTGGGTTTTAATGCCTATCAGGAAAAACACCCACGTAGCACATTCGACCTGGACTCCATAGACTTGGCTTAGGACGACGCTTCGTTTTCGTTAAGTCTTTCAAAAAAGTGACTCAGTTTTTAAAATAAATGCTCAAACAGTCGATAATGGCCAAAACTGCAAACACTGGAAATGCAGTGTTCGAGTGACTCAATTTGGAGAAACACTGGTCTGCTATTTCCGTCTTTTAGCATTCATCGTACAAGAAGCCAGTTAGTTGAGAAACAGCCTGACCTTCCTCCATCCCTAGCAATAACCCTGTGAAAACCCCTCTTGCTGAAACAATAAAAGCGTCAGCTCCGAACGCCCACAAGCAAACAAACAAACAAAAAACTACATTCCCCAGCAGGCCGCGGGGCGAGGAAGCCTCCGGAGCATAGAGCTCAGTGCCTAGCTGGGCTTCCGGTCGCCGCTTCCGCCCGCCCGCCCGCCTCAACCGCGCTTGCGCACGGAGTCTCTTCCTCTCTGGGCTGGGACCTGGCTGGCGGCGACATGGTGAGCGAGCGCCGTGGTGCCTGCGAGGCCTGCGGGTCTATCCGGCCGCATCCGACCTTTCTTAGGGCGAGGGCGGGGGGGGGGGGGGGGGGGCGTCTCGGCCGCGGGGCCTCCCGGACACGGACCGGGGCGGAAGGGCGGGGGCGGCTCGGCGGCGCGGGGCGCGTCCTAGGCGGGAGCCGGGGTCCCCGCGGAGGGCCCGCGTTTGACCCGGATGGGCCCGGGCGGGGGTGGGGGGGGCGCGGGGCCCCGGGGCCCCGGGTCCTGGTCCCGATCCCGATCCCGATGACGCCGCTTGTCTCTCGCCGCCCAACAGGCCAAACGCACCAAGAAGGTGGGGATCGTGGGTAAATACGGGACCCGCTACGGGGCCTCGCTCAGGAAGATGGTGAAGAAGATCGAGATCAGCCAGCACGCCAAGTACACCTGCTCCTTCTGCGGCAAGGTGAGGGCCGGCGGCCGGCGGGCGGCGGGGACTCGGGGCCACAAGGCCGTTGGCCTGCCCGGGGGGAGCCGAGGGGGGGCGGGCGTCTGACCTCCCCGGCCCCGGGGCCGCGCGACGGTGCCGGCCTCGCCAGGGCCCCGGGGCCGAGGGACGCGCACGGCCTCGCCAGGGCCCCCGGGGCCGAGGCAGGAGGTTCTCGGGCAGACGCCGCTGGTCTTTTGCAGACCAAGATGAAAAGGCGAGCGGTGGGCATCTGGCACTGCGGCTCCTGCATGAAGACCGTGGCCGGGGGCGCCTGGACCTACAAGTGAGTCCCTCCCTCTGCGCCTCCTGGGGGCGGGGGCCGGGGCCCCGGGCCCGGGCCGCGGGACGCAGGAGGCTGCTCGCCCTCGCGTCCCCTTGGGCGCCCCGCACCGGGCCTCGGCGCGCGCGGGGGGACCCGGGGCCCCTCCGGCCGGACGTCCGCAGCCCTGCGACCCCCACCGGCCAGCTGCGGCTGCTCGGGTGAATCTGCCCGGGCGGGCTCCCGAGTGGACTCGAGGGAATCCAGTTCTGGAAATTGAAGCCACCAAGGGCCCTACTCCTGGGGCTCCTTGCCGAGCCGAAAGGCAGAGGTGGCCTTGCTGTCGCCGGGGTCTAGGCGTGCGCCGTCCAGCGTGCGAGCCCCCCACGTGTGAGGCTAGTGCGGCGAGGACTTGGAATTTTGGTGTTAGTTGATTTAAAACTGCAGCAGGGTAAGATAATGGGAAGCGTCGAAGTGATGGTTCGTGCGCGGCATGTGCCTTAGGACCGGTGAGGTGGAACCGCAACCAGCCAAGCCTGCTCTCTTGGTTGTGTTGATCTAATGAACTAGCGTTCCTGTACCCGCCGTATGTGATGGTTGTGGGTTTTCCAGGTTCCTGAATCTTTTGATACAAAAATTTTTTTTTAAAGATTTTATTTATTTGTTTATTCATCAGAGATACAGAGAGAGAGAGAGGCAGAGACACAGGCAGAGGGAGAAGCAGGCTCCATGCAGGGAGCCCCATGCGGGACTCGATCCCGGGACTCCAGGATCACCCCTGGGCGGAAGGCAGGCGCTAAGCTGCTGCGCCACCCAGGGATCCCCCTATATAAGTTTTTTTATGGTCCTTTTTAGTAGCTGTTTTTCCAAAATATACTTGAGTCTTATCCTATTCTGACACTGCTTTTTGATACCTGTCATTTATTACAGCATCCTAGAATGCATTAGTTTCTCCGACCTTCTGTCCATTCCCTTTTAATGAGTTTCGGTCAGCCTCTTGGAACCATTCATTCCTCCCTGCTCATCTTTTCAATGCTGTTTGAGAAATCAGATGTATGAGATGGTCTTCTCTAATTCTGCAAGAGCCTGAAGACGCGGCTCTAATTGTTAAAAGATGCCATCCATCATCGTTAAGATTGTAATGTAAAAATAAGGCAGGATTTACTCATTTGCCATTTCACATGTTAGTGTAGCTAATCATGTTGGTACCAACTTTTTGTTTTTCTTTCTAGCACCACTTCTGCTGTCACAGTAAAGTCTGCCATCAGAAGACTGAAGGAGTTGAAAGACCAGTAGAAGCTCCACCATTTGAAACATTGCTAGCTTACAATAAATGGGTTAATTTATATAATAAAATTACTTGGGCTTGTTGTTAAGTTTCTTAAGTAGATCTTCACTTTGCGTCGCATTCTGCTTCCTCAAAAGACTTGAAAATGAAAAATCCTAATTTTTTTGGAAAAGCATGCTGAGATGGGTTATCCTAATACAGCCTCTTTTTTTTTAATGTTTCTAAAGATAGGATAATGTGCACA